AGAGGAGTCTAGTGAGACAAATACAACACCCAAAAATCAAAACAAAGACAATGAGTACTCATAAGAGTAATCATAAGAAACCAGGGTAACATGAGGGAATTACAGGGGGTTACTTTAGATTTGGTGGTCATAAAAGACCAATCTGAAGAGCCATTATATAGACTGAAAACTAAGTGGTAATCCACATTTTGTAAAATCCATTGGGTTCTCATTTTTGAAAATCAGGATATTTGCTCATTTTCAGTTTTCTGCCATCTCTCCATAATTTCTTGAGGATAATAATGACAATACTGTAAGGGTTTTAGAAACATAGCAAAGAAAACAAAATTGTCTCCAAGCTCGATATGAATTTCTCTCTTAAAATTTGAAGACTTTTATAAGCTTCAGCAAGAAACCTGGATTCTAACATTTTTCATTACTGGTCAATGGTTAACTAACTAAAAAGGTTCTTTCTTTTAGAAATACTAGAAGCCAGTTATTTTTAAGAATGTCAGTTCTTATCGACCCCCCCCATTAGTATGAAAAGTTTAGTTACAAGGAGATTAAAGGAAGGAGCCAACATAATCAAACTAAATTTCAAAGGAAGTCAGTTACTTTAAGAACCAAATGTATGCTAACAAACATGAGTGACGTTTACATAATAGTAAGCCTGAAAGTGCTTTAGTGCATAGGTGAGAAATCAAAATAAAATCCTAAGCCTCCTTACTGAATGGACTCCCTTTTGGGCAAGGGACCGTGAGAGAAACCTTAAAAACTTGAGTTACTAGCATGAAGAGTAAATCTTTTTCAGAAACCTAAATAAATTATGTAATAAAATATTTTGACTATTTAGTCTAATCACAAGTCTTGGTAAATTAAAAAATGAAATAACTTTGCTAGTCTTCACTAGTTTAGAAACTCTGGAAGGGGTTAAAATGGACAAAAGTTAACAGTCAAACATGGTTTCTGCTTTCTACTGCAACTTTACATAAATCATGCCTGGCATGGTAACCTATTTCCTTACTCGAAAACCAGACCTAACAAAAATGTGAGGGAGAGGATCATCCATAGTTACCCATGTTTTAGATATTTTCAGTGATTAAAACATTTAAACTCCACCTTGAACTTTTCAAACACTTCTGTCAAATGAAGACTCACAAGGTTCATATATCTGGAGAGTTTTTCTTCTCATAAAGGGTTGTAGTCTGCAGGCTGGCCATCCTGCATGCTTGGAAGTGTAGCCTCTGGCAGAAGCTGAGAGAAAGCACTTCTAGAGAGGGGTAATGGGAACAGGAATTTATGCTGAGCAGGGTAGCCATATACATATTCAATAAGATGTAGCAGGAATCATGAGTATGTATGAAATGAGAAAAAAGAGCATGTGCGATGGAGCTTTATGCTTCCATGGGTTGCACGTTCAAAAAATGGCAGTGTGGGCATGATCCAAGGGTGGAGTTTTTGGCCCTCTGATGTCAAAAGGCAAAGCAGAAGACATGAAAACCTTCACTGTGCATCATCCACAAGTTGGCCAAGACGGGTTTGGAGACGGTGGTCAGTTTTTTGCATACATGCACTGTGAAACCAGTGAGCTGTCACACAAACTACACAGAGGGATGATGAGTCTGGTCTTGGCCTCAGATTGGCTAAAGACAATAAAGGAATGAGCTGTTTCTGCCTGTTTCTTGTTTTCCAGAGCTGGTTTCTGCTTACTCCTTAGGAAAGAATTCTGGTTAGAGGTTAATAAGGAAGGGGCATACTGGGGCATGTCTGACGTCCTGTCCCATCGTGCCCATAACTCAGTTTTTAAGGTTTCTCTGGGGTTCCCTTGTCCAAATGAGAGTCTATTCAGTCCGTCAGGGCGTTTAGGATTTTATTTTGATTTCTCACCTTCTATGCACTGAAGCACTTTCAGGTTTACTATTATGTAATTTTCATAAAGTCCTGTGAGGAACAGAGAACATATTATTCTCATGATCTTTGGGTAAGGAAATAATTTGTTGGAACAGTAGCCATATTTATATAATTCATATAAAAATAAATTAGGAAACGATTTACACTATGAAAGTATTCACTTATAATATTCACTATTTAATACATGACAGAAGACATGAGCAGAGAAAGTTGAGAATTTAAAGAACCGTCAAGTAATCATCAGAAAGGAAGATAAAGCATGCATAAAGTCAATGAGTAATCATCATTTATATTACTCAGGAATGTACATTTTATATAGAAACATTTGTATCATTTTTAGTTTCATTGAAAATTCATGTCCTAAAAATATCTAAGGTTGAAAATGCTAACAGTTTCAGAGAAGGTTACTTTTTCAGTAAGAAAGTAGTTAAAATTATAAAAAGCAGATTTTGATCAACATGTAACATCCTAAATAAATCAAATAATTGAATACCTAGAACACAAAATACCAGTTTATACAAATAAACTTTACTGCAAGTCCCTCAAAAAATATTCATGCAATAATCTAACTGAAGTAAATATAATGGATTAGTCTTGAGTATGTATGAAACGAGAAAAAAGTGCATGTGCAGTGGAGCTTTATGCCTCCATGGGTTGCATGTTCAAAAAATGGCAGCGTTGGCATGATCCAAGGGTGGAATAAAAGAAATTTAAAAAGTAATACAGTCCTTTGAGTAAATACACTTTGGAAGAATTTTTACAGACTTACTGAAGCCTCTTTGGAGAAAAGCAAATCGTTCACATTCTTCATAACACTGAACTGAAGGTAATATTTATATACTGTCAAAGAACATAATAAATTAGTATTTTATGTGGTGCTAAGTTTACATTAACTTATATGCTTTATGATTGGCATGGTCTTCTAGAGAATAGAAATTTTTATTTGAAGATTATTCCTAAACATGCTAATAAAGTAAACCATAAAGAAGGCAATCAAAACCGTATCCTGTAGTTGGTTTTGAAAAAAATAATGACAAGATGTACCACCTAGAGATTGTGATAAAAGTGCAGATTCAATAGATAAAAAGCACGCAGAACATCTTTATATAGTATGAATAGTCTAAAATCCAATTATTTTGCCAAATGCAGAAACTTATTGGATACATCATGATTATCATCATTGAGTTAGAGGTCTCACTTTGTTGCCCAGGCTGGAGCGCAGTGGCACAATCACAGCTTACCACAGCCTTGACCTACTGGGCTCAGGTGATCCTTCCACTTCTGCAACCTGAGTAGCTGGGTCTACCAGCACGTGCCATCACGCCTGGCTAATTTTTCTTTTAATTTTTTGTAGAGACGAGTTCTCACTATATCGCCTAGGCTCATTATCTTTCTTCAGTTTATCTTGAATCTATTATTTAAACAAATGTACTGAAATAAAATAGGAACAAAACCAAGCACACTGTAAAGTTGTTACAACTTTCAAACACGTGTCTATTCATACAAGAGGCTACGTTTATTTCATAGATGCTTATGAGAATTAACATCCAATATTGAAGTTGGAATTTTGTTACCTGGTCAATCAAGAGAATTTGAGAATGCTTGCCAATTACAAAGCTCTTTAAGAATACATTCTTTAAACAAAGAGTAGTTAGGAAAATGTAACTAGCACATGATGTTAGCTGTAATTAGCTACTGTAGTTCAAGATCAACAAGGTAGGGTGGGTGGGGTGGGGTGACTCATGCTTCTAATTCTAGCACTTTGGAAGGCTGAGGAGGCAGTAGAATGGGGTTGCTTGAGCCTAGGAGTTTGAGACCAGCCTGGGCAACATAGCAAGACCTTGTCTCTACAAAAAGAAAAAAAAAAAACTAGCTGGGCATGATAGTGCATACCTGTAGTACCAGTTACTTTGGAGGCTGAGGCAGGAGAATCGCCTGAGCCCAGGAGGTCAAGGCTATGAGCTGTGATAGTGCCACTGCACACCAGCCTGGGTGACAGAGACCCCGACTCAAAAGCAACAAAGAAGATCAACAAGGCAGTACCTTGAGAAAGTTATGTCCTTAAAGTTCAAATAATGGCCCAAAACAAGTTGTCTTGAAAAATGAAATCATGAAAAAGCAGTTTAATACTTGATGATTTCACCTCCTCAAACTGTAACAGAGACTATTTGAATCAATTTTTTTTTTTTATCATATGAGAAGAAATGTGATCGCTCTTGACGTGAGAAACCGATTAGAATTGTAGTTGGCATACTCTAAGAAATTCAGGATAAATGTCACCTTGATGTTTCGGAAAATAATCTTTCAAAAGGAATGATTGATGCAACCAAATGAAGTTCAAGGATACCCGAGTATAGCGATAAATAATGCCACAATTCAAGCACTGTCCTTGAAAGAATTCAGCTAAATGGGTAAATACAGCATTTTTAGATTTCTGAAAAAATTTAATCTCTGGATAAGTATGGAAACACAGGCATAATTTCAAATTAGCTTTTCATTAGTTTGCAAACTAAGCTTTTCACTAATTAAATACTTAAAACATGTACCATAAGTTTACTTCTGCTTAAAAAGAATGAGCTAATGGGAATTTTATCCCGTTTTGGAAGGACACATTCAGTCTCAATGATTAGAGTCTGTCTTATCTAAAATATGTAGAGTACATATTTTACTTAAAAAAAAAAAAGAAAACTAAACGATATTAACATACTTAAGAGCACAATAAGGGAGACAGACCAATTTGAAATATATTGTGAAACTTGCCTGCTGTGGGTTTTTTAAAAAAACCATTGACATTTAAATATATATTCACTAATTAATAAAATGCTCGCAATAAAAATACGTTATATCTATTCTTCTGGTAACACGCATACATAGTTCAAAGCAAATCAGAGCTTAAGTTTTTTTGAATCATTTCTGAAAAGTATGTTTTATAGCTACACGATCCATTTTTAGTTAAAGTAAATCAAAAGAGGTAATTTGTACAAATCATACTTCTAAAATATTAGTACATTTTCATGAATATATACTTTCTCATTTCTTTTTGCTTGGAGATAGAATATGGTGTTTCAAAATGAAAATAAACACATAGTCAAAAACAAAACAAAAACAAGTATGCAAAAACATTTTATTTATACTAGATCAACATTTTTGACATGAAAGGTAGCCACTTTCAATTTCTCAGGAATGCCTAGAATCCGCAGTTTTCAGAAAGACTAGTCAACAATTATTTCACTATATGTACATAAAATAATTTCAGAATGAACTTTTTAAACGGTTTTGCCTATGGCAAATTATTTTATAAGCCTGGATGTGTGGTAAGCTAGCTTTCCCAGGAAATGAGTGTAATCCAACTATGTTCCAAGAGTATTAAACCAGTTTATACAACAAATATGAGAATCATGTATGTGCATCAACTGTGCTCAGATGAGCATTCTCTTTATCAAAATATTCATTTTTCAAAAAGGCCTCACACGAACCCCTCAAACCAATCACTCTCTCTTTCTATGTCCAGCACTCTTTTCTACTTCAAGTAGCATGACTGTATAGACAACTGTCAAATTCCAGTGGAACTGTACACCGACTTAAGACTATGTAATATATATCAAACACAAGTATAGTCACTGACTTTAAGGGACAAGGTGATAATTTACCAATAATAATGTAGCCAATGTCATTTTCAGTTTAGAGGGAAAAAAGCAGCCCCCAAGTGTCCTTCACTTTTCAGTATTTCCCTGTAACACACAGAAGGAAAAGAGATCCTCTAAAAATAAATCATTAGAAAATACCTTAAATGAAATGTTCTATGTAAGTGTTAAATTTCAGATTCAAACTATATTTTCATTTGTATTTCAATTTGGGAAAAATTTCACAATTATCAGGTCCTCTCAGTTACATTTCTTTTTGAGCATTTAAATCTATTACACACTAGTTTGAAAAATTCACCTTGGTTGCCACTCCCCATGCTTCTTTCCTCAGGTAAGTCCATTATATGTATGAAAATGCTGGGGAGGCTTAAATAGCACTTAAAGAATATTCACGAGAGCTCTGAAATGTTGAAAGTTTCATCATAGCTATTTACTGCAGGATTTGTAATTCAGATTCATCACAGCATCCCAAAGAAATACTGTGTGAATGGAATGCATACAATTCCCACAGAACACACAAACTGAAGTCCAAAAGGCACAGAGTAATGCTGGTGGCTCTTTCTAGTCAGTTAAGAAACAATAAAAAGTCTGCATTTTTCTTTCATAATTTAAATACTTAAGTAATCTCCATTTTATTATTTTATAACAATGACTTCAAATTTACATTATTTTAAGTACCATTGTAATAGCTTAGTGTATAATACAGATATTTGCTAATATCCCATTCGAAAATTAAAAAAAAAAACCCTCTTCACTATATATATATACATATAAAAAATTATTCTGAAAGACAAGAACATAGATGAGGGACTTGGAACAGACTATTAACTCAACTTTCTATCACCACAGTTGTAACTCCAAAATCAACAGACATACAGCAAAAATCAAAAGCAGTGCAAATATCTTTGGAGGTTAGGATAAAATTATAATGCAAGAACATAAAACTGAGGAAATAAAAAAGGCAAGTACTTCAAGTACAAGGAACCAGTCTGCTTGAGGTCCATCTTAGTGTTTACTGAGGGTTTCCTTTCCGCTTCTACTTCTTTCTCTGAAACACATTGGCCAACATGGCGCCTGATGTTGTCAACTGGCCCATTTTGTTCAAAAACTTGGTCTTTGTATCTTCACTTACTAAGCTTGCAGCAATTGATATTGAGCTAGGAAAGAAATTATAAAACTCATGTAAAGCAATTAGAAAATGAAAATGTCAATTTTTCATTTCTTTAGTAGCATATCATTAATGAATACATTCTGAATTGGCATCACAATAGGGAAACTAATATTTATAGTGGGGAGTTTTATATCCCATCCTGGGTTAGGAGCTTTCCTGTTCATAATCTAGGTTAAAGGAAGCAGTACATAGAGTGGTGGTTAAGAGCAAGTCCGGGACTGGACAGAATCCTGATTCTGTTTGTCAGCCATGTGACCTTGGGTAAATTATTTAATCTCATCTGTAAAATGGAGATAATTCTAGTACTTACCCCACAGGGTAAGTACTACAACCTTTGTTGTAGAATTCTACAACAAAGTGCTCAACAAAGTGCTAGGCCTATAATAGAATGCTGTAATTGTTATACATCATAGGAATATATCCTATGGTATAATTCCTTTTTTAAGAGGAAACAAGTCCTGAATTGCCAGTTGCATTAATTTCAATCAACAGTTTCCAATCCATTTCTTCTTGATTTTTCGCCAACTTGTCGTGTGTAGGGGTTAAACACAATCTGAATGACTACTACAGATTGCTACTTTATCACACTGCGAACAGACACAGAATATTGATCAAGCAGTTTTTTCAATGACTTGACAACTGTCCTATAATATTCTAAGGAGCCCAATTTATTGCCTTGTGGCTTTGGTCAAGATGCTTTAGATCTCTGATTCAGTTTCTTCATCTGTAAAACACAGTTGTGATTCTATTGCAAAACATCCTGAGGATTCAATGGGATAACGTGTTTGGGCATGCCAAGGACAGTGTGTGGCAAGCTGCAGGAGCTCAACAAATGTCTGGTGGATCTACTGCATGAAGTGTGTGCTGCCACGGAGGACATCTGGGTCTGTGTAGTCTTTAAGGATGAGCACTTTGAATGACTCAGTTAAAAACCCATCCACAACTCCCACCTTGAAAATCTTCTTCCCATTGCTCTACTGCCAATACACCAATGGTTTTGTAACATCTCCTCTACCATTTCTTTTTATTTCTATTGCCAATACCTTAACAAGTGAATTATTCCAACAGTCCTGAATCTTCATTATCAAATTAACTTTTTTTTTTTGAAAGTAGTATTTATTGAGAAGACAGAAAAGCTCTCAGAGCAGGAGGGGACCCAAGGGAGTTGCCTATCAGATTAACTTCTAAAAGTTACCTCTTGGCTAGGTATGGTGGCTCACACCTATAATCCCAGCACTCTGGGAGGCCAAGGCAAGAGGATTGCTTGAGCCCAGAAGTTCAAGACTAGCATGGGTAACAAGTAAAACCCTGACTCTAAAAAAATCGAATTAGCTGGCCGTGGTGCCATGCGCCTATAGTCCCAGCTTTTTGGGAGGCTGTGGCAGAAGGATGGCCAGAGTCCAGAAGGTCAAGGCTGTGGTAAACTGTCAGCATGCCACTGCACTCCAGCCTGGTCAACAGAGTGAGAATCTGACTGAAAAAAAAAGTCACTTCTTCATAGCACACCCAGCTCAAAAATCTTTAATGCTCACTTACTGCCTACAAGATAAAATGTGCTTTGCATTCAAGAAATGTAGCTCCCCCTTCTGTTCGGTTTGCCTAGTCTATTTGTCAATCATTCTCACATCTTTCTCTCTTTCTACCCATTGCTTACTCATCTTTCAAAGTTCAGTTCAAGTCCTATCTTTATGGTGCCTTTCCCTAACTTTAGCTTTACAGTGTTCTTCTCTTTCTGTGGAAATCTCAGTGTAAGTCAAAAGATAAGGACAATTTTAACTTATATCTAGAATGAGGGGAATGTATGAGTCATACTTGAGATACTAACAAACTTTAATGAAATTCTAAAAGGAGGGCAACAATGATGTTGGAAGTCTAGAAATCGTAAGAGGTAAAATGAAAGGATGAAGAATGGTCTGGAGAAGAGATTTAGGTGTCTTAACTGATGCCTCTTAATGTTATGTGCCAAAAATTACATATGTATATATGCAGAGCTGTATATGTCTGCATAGTTCTACAGATACACATCACAGTCACCTGGGGGAAATTCTTTGAAAATTCAGATGTCTAGGCCTAACCCTAGTGTTTCTGATTCTTTTAATCTGGGGTAGAGACCCCAGTTATCTATTTTTCAAAACTTTGCAGCTAAAAAAAAAAAAATCACGGCACCACAGCAATTTTCCCTCCTCTGGAGACAGAGTTTAAATTTTGATCAGTTTTACAATGGGGTAACACTCTCCCAACCCTCCACCAAATGACAGAGGGTAGGCATTTAGAAAGGGAGACTTTAACCCACAATAAGAGATTAAAACTTTTTTTCCAAAAATCAAGTTATTAAAAATGAAATGGTCTGCCTTGTAAGGTAATGTGTCTCCTTGCTGCAAATTTTCAAGCAAATTTCAAATCTTCCCTTTGCAATTCCCATCCAACCTGTTGCCATTTCCTGTTGCCACTTCTGAATTTGTAGAGCATCGTACATCGAGCCTATCTTCTTTTATACTACGCCTGTTTATGTCCTACTCTATCTTTCTCTCTCCCTCTTGTCTTAAAATCCCCACTGGATTCCTAACACCGTTCTAGTTTACCCCCAATTTCTCAGATAATCTCCTCTTCCATCTGCATCTTAAATGTGGGTCTCTAATTCCATGCCCTGCCATCCTTTTCCCTCGATCGGAGCCCTTTTCCTAAGTGATATCACCTATCCACCTCTCCCCCAACCCTAACTTCAACTATCACTCCTGTGCTAATAGTTCTTAAACCTCAATGAACTGCCTATAGTGTCTTCCCACCTGTTCTTCAACTTTCAAATATTCATCTTCAGAACAGTTCTTCCTATAGTTCTATTTTGTTGTATTGTGCCATCATCCATTTAAATGTTCAGATCAGAACTATGGGAATCCTTAGATTCTGTTCTCCTCCACTCTTAAACTGTTGCTGTTAAACTGAGTTCACATCTAAAATACATATCTCTAGTCCATCTTCTCATACTCACTGCCATAAACAAGCATTATAATGTGGTGGTTAGATCACGGACTCAGGACCATAATGTCTGGATTTTGGTTTCTCCACTTTGTAGCTAGGTGACCTTTGAGCAACTTACCTGCATCTGTGTCATCTGAAAATGAGAATAGTAAAAGTATCTACTTTGTAGGATTATTATGACAACCATTAGCGATTATATGCAAAGTGCTTAGAATGGTATCTGGTTCGTAAGTGCTACTTATGGTTACCTTCCCATTCATGCCCACACCTGATCTCATCATGGATTCCCATAACAGCTTTCCAATCTGTTTCACCAGCTTCTCTGTATTCACTAGAGTCTGGCTCCTAAAGTAACGTTTTTCAAAGTGTGGTTCTTGGATCTGTAACATTAGCACCGCCTATGAACTTGTTATCAGTACAAATTCTCAGACTCCATTCAGAACTTCTGAAAGAAAAACTGCCTGTAATTCCAACACTTTGGAAGAGTGAGGGGGAAAAAATGCTTGAGCCCACAGGAGTTCGAAGTTGCAGTGAGCTGTTACTGCACCACTGCCCTCCAGCCTGAGTGACAGAGTGAGATCTTGTTGCCCAACCTCCAATCAAAAAAAACTCATAAAACTCTGAGGATGGTCCCAGTAATTTCCAGATGATTGTGATGGACCCTAAAGCTTGAGAAACAAAGATTCTAAGGGTTGGTAAACTACAGGTAGCAGGCAAAATCCAGCCTGCTGCCTGTTTTGGTAAATAAAGTTTTACTGAAATACATCCATAGCCATTCATTTATATACTATCAATGGCTCCTTTCCTGCCTAATAGCAGAGTCCAGTTAAGTAGTTGTGACAGAGACCGTATGGTCTACAAAGCTTAAAATAATATTTACTATCTTTACAAAAAAAGTTTGCACCTCCTGGCTTTCAGGATAAAGTCCAAACCTCTCAGTGTGGCATACAAAGTTATTTATTATTTGGTGTCTGCCCACTTTTATAGATTTATCTCTATCATTCTCCCACGCATACTCTGTGCTCCAGTTTTACTTACAGTTCCCAGAAAGGTTCTTCTGTCATTTTGCACAGTGCTGATTTTTCTGTACATAACCCCTTTTCTCTTTTCCTTTTGCCTCTTGAGTCAACTGTTCATGCTTAAAGACTCCTGTATTCCTTTTTCCTTAGAACCCTTTGCAGGCATTGTTTTAGTATTTATCTACACTTTTTTTTTTCCTAGTTGGAACCTCATTCTGTCACCCAGGCTGGAGTGCAGTAGCATGCTCACGGCCACCCCAATGTTGACCTGTTGGGCTCAGGCAATCCTTCCGCCTCAACCTTACAAGTAGCAGGAACAACAGGCATGTGCTATTATGCCTGGCTAAGTTTTTGATGTATTGTGGAGATGAGGTCTCGCCAAGTTGCCCAGGCCAAGTTACCCGCGGGTTCAGGCAATCCTTTCACCTTGGCCTCCCAAAGTGCTGGGATTGCAGGCTTGAGCCACCGCGCCCGGACTTATCTATACTTTTAACTGCTTCTTTTCCCTACTTTCTGCTGCAACACCGGGCGGGAAGAGACTGTGCCTTGCTCAAGCTCATCTCTGTGAACAGCCCATGGTAAGTGCTCAGTGAATTTTACTAACTGCCGAGTAAATATAAGAAAGGTATCAAAATACATATGCATACATCTTTTGCCTACAGATCAGTGCTTTCAAACTTTTCTGACAAAGATCCACAGAAAGAGACACATTTTACATCATGACCCACAGCACACTTACACAAGTAACTGAAGTTTCATAAAGAAACACTCATCCTTACAACTTGGGATGTACTCTCTGTATTTCATTTCTTGGGAGAAAATGCTTATCATAACCAATCGCAATGAGCAGAACACTTCAGAGATATAACTGTTTTTTTATCTGTACCTATTCTCACTTTCCCTTCCATCTTAGAAGTAGTTCCTTTTACTGTTCAAGGCTCTTTTCTTGTGCTTTCGATCTATAATAGACTTCAAAGCAGGGGTGAGTCAAGGAAAGCTTCCTTGAAGAGGCAATATCTAAGCTTTGTCATGTAGGATGAATAGGACCTCATTAGGCAGAGTAAGCATTTTCCTTGCAGAGGGAATCCTGTGTGTAAAGACCTGGGGAGAAGCCGGGCTCGGTGGCTCAGCCTGTAATCCCGTGCCTTGGGAGGCTGAGGTGAGTGGATTGCCTGAGCCCGTGGGTTCAAAACCCTCCTGGGCAACTTGGCGAGACCTCATTTCTAAACAAAACAAAACAATACAAAACAAAAAAACACCTGGGGAGAGCAGAAGCATGGCATAACAGAGGTTCCTGGAGCCCTCCGCTAAGCCTCTCCTGTTATCCTAGGTTGGTTAGACCATTCTCTTATTTATACAACCAGTATAATTTCAACATGGACTTACTGTACTATCTAAACCATGTGACTACAGTGTCATTTCCATATCTTGTCTAGTTATTCTCTATGTAAATTACTGGTGGGCAAAGTTATCTCACTTATGTTATTTACTTGTTTTATCTTCAACCCTGAGCAAAGGGTCCAAAATGAAGAAAAACTTGCAAGTGAGAAATTTCATGAGATTATCTCTGATTCGTGCAGTGCATACTGCCTGCATCACTTATTTAGTATTTGTAAGTCTCTATTCTGTTAATGTCACATAAATGTCTTCATTCCCTACAGGACTGTGAGCATCCTGATGGAAGGACATTGTGCCCAAACTCTTCCATTTCCCTCTTGTATCTAAAAGCAGAGCAGTTGTTTGTATATCCACTGACCAATAACATGGTTCCTGTTTGCACACATATGCTTTCATTACAGAAGGTAAAGAGTAACAGATATAATACTGCAATATTTTAGGCATTTTTCTGCTTTATTTGGTGTTTACAGAACACTCTTTTACTAAATATAAAATATTTCCAAAAAATACTTTTAGCACATAACTAAAAAAAGATTAAAAGACATATATCATTAAGCTTTGCAAATTTTAATGATAAAATTAAAAAAAATCAATAGGAACAATTTGTAGACAAGGTTATAACTGTCTCCTCTTGCTCTTACTCTCCAAAAGGAGAAATTTTTAATTAGTATGTTTATGATATTGTCATACCAGATTGCAAGGAAGTGTCATGTCAAAAGGACCAGGAGGTCAACTTGAAAAGGCTCATATTGGCTAAAGATGGGATGATTTGGGCATCAATAGAATAGTTTCTTCAATATGTAAAGTGTATAGAGAAAAAAAGAGAAGAAGGGGAACTTTCTATCTATAGATTAAAAGAAACATCAACAACTGCAATGTATGGAACTCATTTGGATCCTGACTCAAAAGAAACAAACTGTAAGGAAAAAACCAAAAAACAAATCATTGCTGACATTTATGAAACAATTAGAAATTTCAACAAAGTCCAGATATTTGGTGATACTAAGGAGTCATTGTTATTTTGGTGTGATAATGGTATTATGTTTATGCTTTTAAAAATAACTTATCTTTTAAAAGATACATATCAGAGAATGGGAGGGAGAAGTAGGTGGGGTAGGGATGAAACTGAAGCTGAGTTATGAACACATGGGAATTCATTATATTTTCTGTTTATTTTTACATTAGAAAATCTCTATAGAAAACAGGAATAATAAAGAAAATTTGAATGTTTCTATTATTTTACCCCTCTATGGCTAACATGGCAGGCATGCATAGAGAGGAGCTCCTTCCTTAGAGGCTAAAGAAAGAGTTCTGACATATCCTAGAGGCAAAACACTGTGTATGTGTGTTGGGCATGGGGGGCAGGGAGGAGCGCATGTGGATGTGTGTGCTCCTAGACTAATAGGGATGAAATACTTATTCCTGGTAGTCAGGCTTAAAGAAAACACTTTTGAGCTTTTTATGTCTAAAAGAGTCTACTTAAGATTAATTGTTCAGAGTTACTTCAGCAAGAAAGCACACACAGTCCATTTGTAAATTACTCTTTTGCACGAATGCCCAACTTTATTCTTTCACATCTATGTTCTCATATATATGTGTGTGTGTTGAGTTGGAGTTTCACTCTGTGGTCCAGGCTGGAATGCAGTGGTATGATCACAGCTCACTGCAGCCTTGACCTCCTGAGTTTAGGTGATGCTTCCACTTCAGCCTCTCGAATAGCTGGGACTATAGGCATATGCCACCATGCTCAGCTAATTTTTTGGATCTCTTTTTATAGAGATAAGGCCTTACTATGTTGCCCAGGCTAGTCTTGAATTCCTGGGCTCAGCTAATCCTCCTGCCTCCTTGGCATCCTAAAGTGTGGGATTACAGGTGTGAGCCACTGTGCCTGGTCCATGCTCATATTTTAACTTCACTGGATCTTTGGATTCTAATTCATTTGGTTAGAAGCATGTGACAAGACCATTGCCAAGTTTATAATCCTTGATGCAGTAAATTGTTCATTTTATAACTCGTCACAAATTTCTAGGTATTATTTTGACTAGTGAGTACCCAATCAGAATCTTGTTGGAAGCTTTTAAACTTACAGATCCCAAGGCTAACTGCAAATATTGAGAGAAGGGCATAGAACATGTTGTAGAGATCTAAATTTTAAATTCTCCAGATAATTATGATGAGATGGTTTATAGCCAGCTTTTGAGAAGATGACTTAAATCATTCTCTTGTCTTCTAAACAAATGACTAAAACAACACACAATGAAACACCATACCCATATACAGCAGATTCAGGTAGAGAAATTAAGATTAACATGAAACCTTAGAAAAACATAGAATGTCTTACCCTTGAGGCTCTTGGACGGTCTTGTTTTCTACTTTTTGTTCACATTCTTTTATCATGGAACTTAAAATAACCTGATTAAAAAAATTACTTTAGTGAAATACAGTTTACATAGTAAAATACTAAGGTTTAATCTAAAGTTTTTATTTAATTTTTAATATTCCCATAAGGTAATATGTCAATTAAAAAATTACAGCTTTGGCTACTGCTCTGTTAAAAGAATTCATATTAGATTCCTACACTAGGTGCAAAATTAGCTTTAAAAATTCTCAGTCATATAACAATTTATTCTGATTTTTACTTGCCTTCTTTCTTTCTAAATCTGTTTTCCATTCCTCCTTAGCTTCCCCACCAACTAATGTTAAAAGTAAAATTCATATACATCTACATAATTACACATACACCTAATATGGACACATACATACTTTCCTAGTAAAAGCTAATCTATTCTATGTCCCTTTGCTTTCTCCAGGTTGCAAAAAGCAAGATGCTCTAATTTTTTTTGATTTGGAGTCTCATTCCATTGCCCAGGCTGAAGTGCAGTGGCACGCTTATGGCCACCCCAGCATCAACCTGCTGGGCTCAAGCGATCCTTCCACCTCAGCCCTCCAAGTAGCTGGAACTATAGGCACACGCTACCATACCCAGTTAATTTTTTGATTTATTGTAGAGAAGAGGTATTGCCAAGTTGCCTAGGCTGTTCTCAAAACCGTTGGCTCAGGTTATTTTAATGTCTAGAGCCAAGGCTAGGTACAGCTCTGTGGTTACTAAAACATAATCGGGTATACGATGAGTATTTAAGAGTTAATATTATTCCTGCAGGGCGACTAAGTGAGTGATGGAAAGGGTAGAAAGATCTAAGCTGCAGCTCCGATTGTTGGCAACCACACCAGAAACTGAATGACCTTCCTGAATATTCTCGGCCCAGGTTTGGGTATGGAGGTAATAAAATAAGTATTGTCTTAACTCCTGGATTCAAGCGATCCTCCCACTTCAGTCTCTCAAAGTGTTGGGATTACAGGTATGAGTCACTGTGGCTGGCTTAAGTATTTATTGTCTACCTACTATGTGCTAAGCACTTTTTTAGACACTGAGGGTAGAACAAATAAAACAGACAATATTTCCTCCTCGTCGAGCTTATATTACAGTAAGGAAGATAGACAATAAACACACAAAAGGCAGGTAAATAATGTAGTATCTTAGAAGGTGGTAAGAGTTTTGGAAAAAAATACCAAGTAAGATAGGGGTACTATGAAAGCCAAAGTGGAGAATGCTACAATTTACATGGAGGTGTTCAGGGTAGGCTCCATGGAGATGGTAACATTTAAATAAAAACCTGAAGAAGATGGAGTGCTGTAGAGACTGGGAAGAGGCGACCGTGCAAAGGCTCTGAGGATTGGGGCCATAGCCCTGTCATGTCCTCAGCAAAAAGGTCAGAGTGGTGGGAGCACAGCGAACAAGGAAGAGATGGCAGAAGATGAAGTCTGAGAAGTACTAGAGGAAGGAGTTGGATTCTTCGGTGCTTTGTAGATTATGATAAAGGCTTTGGGCATTATTTTGAGAGAACAAAACCTTTATCATATTAACCCTTTGTTGAACCCTTTATCTCTGTTCCTGCTCTCTCATTTCACAGGCTATAGATTTTGTTTGGCTATTGTTTTTTTACTTTACAGCTTTAAAGGGAAGTGTTTTTGTACTTTTCCTACTGCTTCTTGCATAGTCTCTGTTTCTTCTAGTAAGTTTCTTCTTTCTTGTTTATTTTCATCTGTCTTCAGTATTCAAGGTTTTTCCTCAAATGGTTCAGGATATTGGGATGTACATTGATTGGTGTACCAAAATGCTGATTAGAATCTATGTATGAATAGACTTCAATTTAAGGTGAATCTGGCACAATTTTCTACTAATCTTTTTTCCTTGCAAGTATGATTTTGGCTGCCAGCATTTGAAGGGTAATGAAGTAGTTCATCATTAACTAGCTTTCACTTAATTTTCCTCTTTTTAGTACAGCATCCCACTTCTGCTCTCAGCTATGCCTGAGAGATAAAGAAGGTAAAGCTCCAATCTCTCACCAAGGTTAGAAAGGGAATCTGAGAGTCTGATTCTTTTAAAGTCTTTAAAACATTCCACCTACTTTCATTCCCACCCTACCCTAACAGAAGGAGGGTGATTTGTGGTAAAGTACATTGGCCTCTTGTTTCTTCTGTTCTCTAGGCTTAGGCTTAATGTTCATCTTGAAGCAAAAATCCTCAACGAAATATTAGCAAATCTAATTCAGCTACATAGAAAAGGAATTATACACCACAACCAAGTGGAATTTATCCTGAGAATGCAAGGTTGGTTTAATACCTTCAAATACATTGATGCAATACACTGTGTCAATAGAAGAAAAAATAACCTCATGATCATCTCAGTTGTTGCAGAAAATTTTTTTAACAATATCTAACACTCCTTTATGACAAAACATATTCTACAAACTAGTAATAGAAGGACACTTCCTCAACCTGATAAAGGGCATCTATAAAATATGTAAAGCAAAAGTAAAAAATTAAAAGGAGAAATAGACAATCCCCAATTACAACTTTTAATACATGTCTTTCAACAGCAGATTCTCCAAGCAGATCACAAAAAAGTGATGCAAATCTAGAAGAACTGAACCATAAAATTAGCAGACTTTACCTTATTATAACAGTGTATCTAATAATGACAGAATTCATACACTTTTCAAATGCCTTACTGATCATATTCTGAGCCATTAGGTGAACTTTAACAAACTTCAAAAGACTGAATTCAGAGTATGTTCTCTGATCACAGGGAAGTTAAGTTAGAAATAAATAACAAAAATATCACTAGAAAATTCCCACTCTTCCCAAGTTAAACAAACCCCATGGGTCAGTAATGAAATAATGAAAAACTCTAATTTGAACTGAATGATAATGAAGATACAACATAGCAAATGCATGGGATGTAGCTAAAGCCATACTTAAAATGTTAAATTCATATATGAGAAAAGTAGAAAAGTTAGAATAGCCTAAGCTTCCTCCTCAACAAGTTAGAAAAATAGAAAAACAAATTTTAACAAAATAAAAGGAAACAAAAATGAAAACATAACTCAATGAACAAGAAAGCAGTAGAGAAAGTCAACACAGTCAAAAGTTCAATATTTAAGAAGATTAATAAAATGGATAAATTTCTATTCAAAACAAATTTTAAAATAAAGTAAGCAAAAAGCAAACTATCAATATCAGAAATAAAAAGGGAACAATAAAGACCTTACTATTAGACAAGGGGAAAAAAGAAAAAGCCTTAGAAAAGCATGTTTTCATCGGATGACTTTTCTACATATAAAAAACACAAAGAAATCTTAAGGCATTTTATTATTAGGATTAATAATAAAGTTTCTTAAGCTTGCTAGATATAAGGTTAACATATAAAAACTATATGTATTTTTATACACCAAGAAGAAAGAATTTAAAAATGCAAACTTAAAAAAGACACCATTATAACATTATATAGATATAAGGGGCCATAGTTTTTCAGATGTACTGAAAGACATTAAAGAAGATCTAAATAAATGTAAGATTTAGCATATTCAATATAGGAAGATTCAAAATCATGAAGATGAAAAGTCTCCTCAAATTAATTTATATAAATATTCAATTTCAATCAGAATCTGAATAAGATCTTTCTTGGGACTAGACAAAATAATCCTAAAGTTTACATGAAGAAGATAAGGATCACAAACAGTCAAACCTTTCCTAAAAAAAGGACGAGGTACTAGATTTGCCCTAGTGGATCTCAGAACTTTTAAACAAGGTAACTGTAAGGAAGAAAGCGTATCATTTTTATGATAAATTAAATAATTTTATTGTGAAAAGCCAGTATAAATTTTTTTGAAGTATACGAGATAACATCTTTAAGAAATGATCAATCTGTAGTCAAAGATGCCAAAAATGTAAAAAGACATCATCACAAATTAGAAAAAGATATTAAAAAACACAAAGCTGACAAAGTTTTAATAGATTCCAGACTATAACAAATTTTTAGAAAATAATGGGAATAAAGACAACACAAATGAAAAACAGGCAAGAAATCTAAATAGACCTTGACAGAAGAACATGACTAGTCAATAAGCATACCAATGGATGCTCAAGTTTGTCAGAGAAATGCAAACCAAAGCCATAAGGATAATTTTTTATTAAACAAATTAAAAAGTCTAACAATATCAAGTGTTAGCAAACATAAGACTAAAAGGGTATTCCTATACACTGCTTGCAAGGATATAAACTGTTAGTACCTTGGAAAACAATTTAGCATTAGCACGCAAAATTGAAAATGTATGAACTGTACAACCTGTTAATTCTACTTCCGTGTATATCCCACAAAGCTTTGCATATGTGCATCAGGAGATGTTTGTAATTCTGTTTTGATATACAAGATACTGGAAATAACACATATGATCTCAGGAAGAAGAATGGATAAACTATTACATAATCATACAAAGGAATACAATTTGTCATGACAATAAGGAATTACTACTACAAGTATCAAAAAAGGATGAAGCTTATAAGCAAATTGTATGAAAAAGATAAACAAATATGCAAATACATATAGGAAATCCCACATATGCAAGATATATTTTTTTGAGAAATAAGTAAAACTAAACAACATGTTGTTAGGGATAATACGTGGTGAAACAATAATAAAAACAAAGTATGATACATAAAATTCTGGGCAAGTGTCAACTTGCAGGATCACAGGAGAGGGACCTGATTAGGGAAGGGTATGGATGGAGCTTTAAGATATCAATAATCTTCTTAAGGCAGGTAGTAACTACATAGGTACTGGTTTAACTATGAGTTTTTAAACATGTCAGCCATAGTCTTGTGTGTCAACTTGGCTAGGCTATAGTACCCAGATGTTTAGTCAATCAATGATCTAAGTGTTGCTGTGAAGGTATTTTGTAGATGTGGTTAACATCAATACTAAATTGACTTTAAGTAAAGAAGATTACCTGGATATTCTTAGGCCTAATGAACCAAAAGTGAGGTTTCCTGGAAGGAGTTTATTTCAATTATTGCCTGAATTTTTTAGCCTGCCCTCCATATTTTCAATTCCTGCCTGTGTTTCCAGCACTTCTTACCAGCCCCCACAATTGCATGAACCAATTCCTTAAAATAAATCTTTTAATATATCTATCGGATTTTGTTTCTCTGGAGAGCCCTGACTAATACAAACACATATGTGATATACCCTTTGAATGTATACTCTATTTTATGAAATGGTATTCTCTTGATAGAGGGAAGAGAATATACAAAGGCATGGAAGCAAAAGAGGAGAGTATGTGGTGGAAATGATGAGTTAGCCTGGCATAGCTGGGGCAGAGTATGTGATGAGAGAAAGAGGGACAGGAAGCAGGACGGGGAGAAAAGGAGAGATAGGAAGCTATCAAGATGAAGAGATGCCAGATAATAAAAGGCTTTGTATGTAAGAAATTCTTAAAAGGAGGTTTTCAATAGAAGAATAGCATCAACAGATTTATACTTTAGAAAAAGTATTCTGGCTGTAGTGAGAGTCAAAGAATAGTAGAGAGCTAAAATTGGAGAAAATTTAGGTTATCTACGATGTTCTCAACGAAATATTATCAAGGGTTGAACTAGCAGAGGGACACAAGTATAAATAGAGGGAACAGATTAGAAAGACATTATAAAATTAAAGAACTAATTGAACATATTCTAGGTTGCCTATCAAGTATTTGACTTGGGAAGAAATCAGTGTGTCATTAGTCAAAGTATGGTAAAAGAGAGCAATGGTTTGGCCTTACTGAATTTTTTTTTTTTTTTTGAGTTGGAGTCTCACTCTGTCACCCAGGCTGGAGGGCAGTGGCATGCTCCCAGCCACGGCGGTCTCAACCTGCTGGGCTCAGGTAATCCTTTCGTCTCAGCCTTCCAAGTAGCTGGAACTATAGGCGTGCGCTACCACGCTCAGCTTATTTTTTGATTTATTGTAGAGAGGAGGTTGCCCAGGCTGGTCTCAAACCCCTGAGCTCAGGCAATCCTGTCACCTTGGCCTCCCAAAGTGCTGGGATTACAGGCTTGGACCACCGCACCCGGTCCATGTGGAATTTGATAGACACCTGTGGGACGTGCAGGTGGGATGTACAGGTGGCAAAGAGCAATAAACTTCGATGGCTCCAGCATGAGGCCAGAGCAGAAGATGAAAATCTGTGTGATGCTAATGTATATAGTACAGGCAAGTTAGATGATGAATGAGGATGAACTTGTTCATGGACAGCAATTCTAGTGAGTGAAAAAGGGAACACTTAAAAGTGAGGTAAGAAAGGAGGGGAGATTGGAAAAAAGCAACTACAGAAGTAGGGAAAAAATGGGAATAGAAGTGGAATCTCAAGAGCCATAGGAGTTTTAAAAAAGAAAATGCTGCAGAGAGACCTAGAGCTCTAAGGTCTAAAGAGTCCGGTCAGTGTGGCAGTTTGGTCATGAGTGATCTTAGGGATAACAGTTTCACTGAACTACTGTGATGGAGTGAAGGTGATGGATGCACCAATAGATGGTGTGAAAGCTGAGATAGTGAGTGTGGACTCTCAGGAGGAAAAAAAAAAAGATTTGAAGAGAGATGAAGAAAAGCTTTCATTTTATTTAGGAGAGTCAAATATAGTGGGAAAAAACAGTAGAAAAATAGGTTGAAGAAGAGAAAATGAGAACAGAAAATCAATAATAAACAGGGTTTTAGAGGAACAGAAGGGGAAGCAGGAAACAAACAGAACAGAATAGAAGAGTTATGAGGAAATGAAGACAGAAAACAGAAACTCTGGATTTAAGAAAGTTAACGGTCAGAGATAACTAACATCTTATAATTAAAAAAATTCTCATTATACTAAGTGAAGGAGAGTATGTGATCTCTAGAGAATTAAACAGAGGCTCAAAGATGTTAAAGGAGGTGTTAAAGATATCACATCTAGCAAGTAAATACATAAAATGACATCGAGCTAGATTTAAAAAAAATTAAACATAGCATATCATAATTAAGCTTCACAAAAAGAAGAAAGAAAGTGTACATAGGAGCTCCTAAAACATGGCACTGATAATCACAGTGGCTTACCTCATGCTCTGGAGAGAGATGTTCCATGTCAGTCCGTAAACATCTGAGACCAGGTAGAAAGTGATTAACCATTAAATCCTCTGAAATGACTTGGGACAAGGTAGTTAAGGAATTTAAAAAAAAACTGGTACGTCCAACAGAACAGCAGAAGTTACTAACACATAAAAAAGAAGCCCTCTTCAATGAAGCCCGTGGCATGCTGATCGCTCAGAATAAACAGGCTCCCCTTAAGGAGGACTCCTCATTTGCAGAGCAAGTTACTTATCAAGGTCAATTGTGCTTCTTCACACAAATCTATTAATTTCAGTGGTATGCAGCATTGCAACATTCCATAATTTAATGATGCAAAATTAAATTATGCATAATTATGCAAATGTAGAAAATGAAAACTATATCACGTAATCTAATCATACTTAAATGAGCATGAAGTAAGTATAAAAAGTAAGAAAATTAATGTTTTCAAGAAAACTAAGTTGAAAGTTGTGATAAAACTGAGAAAGGCAATTGCTTAAAACATGACTATTTGATGATTATGTACAAGACAACTGCAAAAAACTGAGAATAATAGAAAAATTCTGTACTAATGTTTCTGGATCCTTTCTAAAGAACCTTAACCTGAAAATTATAGGCAACTGCATTAGTGATACAGTTTATCTGAGAAAGAATATATTTTGATGAGCAGAACCATACAAAAGAAATGTCTCAGTCCCACATCAAAAGATTGGTAAAATAAAACACATTTATAGATTTTAAAGTCAAAATTAAGTTATCCTGGTTTCTTGTTTTAACCATCCTGTTAAAGTGACCTACTACTGGTCCTAACTAATTTAGATAAGAGAGTTTTTGCTGGAAATACGAACATTCTGCAAGCCTAGTACTATTTTTAGTCCCTGGTCATCTTTGAATTTTAGGTGATTATCTTGACATGCAAAGGAATCAGGAAAGCAGATGCATTTCTCCAGGAAACAACTAATCTTGCACATGCATACCAATTTTGGTGTATTCTCACTTTATCTTAGTTAGTGATTTAAATGTAGCTCCTATTTAATACTATACTACATTAAGGTGAAAAATACCAGTAAATGAGTTCCCCAAGATGGATTTAATTAGTGTTCCCCCCGCTCACCTTTTTTTTTTTTTGGAGTCAGAGTCTCACTCTGTCACCAGGCTGCAGTGCAGAGGCACACTCACAGCTACCTCAGCCTTGACCTGCTGGGCTCAGGCAATCCTTCTATCTCATCCTTCCAAGTAGCTGGAACTACAGGCGTATGCCACCGTACTTGGTTAATTTTTTGATTTATTGTAGGGACAAGAACTCGCCAAGTTGCCCAGACTGGTCTCGAACCCCTGGGTTCAGACAATCCTCTTGCCTCTGCTTCGCAAAGTGCTGGGTTTACAGGCGTGAGCCTCTGGACCTCGTCAGATGTCTATCAGTTTTAAGAAACATTATAGAATGCTGTATGTTGCATTCTATATTCTGTAGTTTAGTGGTCCTCAGACTTTAGCATGGTCATCAGAATCATCCCTGATTCTTGGTCCTGACTCAGACTTTCTGATTCAGTAGATCTGGAGAGGGACTTGAGAACTTGCTTTTCTAACAAGTTCCTAGGTTATATTGAAAATGCTGGTTCAAGAACCACGCTTGAAGAACTTCTGCTGTAGTTTGTCAAGTTCTTTATTTGCATATCCAAATGCTGCCAGTGTGCAAGAGTTCCTGTTCAAGTGCTAGAAGTGTTTGTTACTTCTGAGTCTGAACTTGTACTTGTAACACTCTCTTGAATAAGGACTATTGCATACTGGCAGTATTTGGATCCAGAGGAGTCTAGGTTTCTCCATATTGTATCCTGATGCATCCGAACAGTACCCGGGCCCTCTTCCTTCTCTTTGTGGTCACTGGATTCCCTCATATTATATGATACCCCAAATCCTTTACAGCTTCCTGATGAGGGTGATACATAACAAATTTTAAAATGCCAATGGAAGTCTTAATAACAGGATGTTGCCAGTAACTTTAACCTTTTGATGGTGTGTTTAAATGGGAAATGCTCTTATAATAAGTTATTTATAAATTCAGTAAGTATTAAAAATACAGACATCATTCGGTTGAAACAAATTCCTATAGACACACAAAGGGCTGCAACTTAATGATTATGTAGTCTTGTTTTCTAGATATGGGGTAAGTACCACCAAGATATAACTGTGAATGACCTTTGGATTAGTGGTTTAAAGTCTGATCTAGAGAAATGTGGGCATGGATTGAGAAGCTAATGATGGCTATATTTGTAGAGAAGAAGGAAGTCATTCTCCTCCTCTTTCTGTTCATTGTTGGGGCCTACCTTTTCCCTACGGCATCACGCAATCTTTCTAAGGGATTGAATACTTAGAGGTAATTCAGTTTTATTGGCTGTTAAGAGCTACCTCTACCTCATTGGTGAATGATGGTCAAAAGGCTTCTAACTGCTAACAATGACAGGGCATTCAGAGTTCTCCAAGGGAGATCATTTTCAGATAGCTCAATTAGAAAGTTTATCTCATAAATAAAATTGGCCTCTCTGTAACCTCTGCTTGTTAGTGTTAGCACCATACTTTTGCTATGTAGCATGCCTAATCATTCTTTCACCTAAAAACCTTTAAAATAATTATATTATCTTTCATCCCTAAGTCATCTCTTCTCTAGGTTAAATGTTTCTGAATTCCTTCAAACTTTCCTTAAACATGACTTCTTGACTTATTATTATTGCAAATGTTAAACATTATCATTTTTCTAATTTCCCTGTTAAAATGATGTCAGTGCTGAAAGAAAGACTCTTATAACTGATCAGTTCAGAATGTAATGGAACAGAAGAGATGTGAGCAATATGATTTTATTTGTGGCGATAACATTCCATTGACTCAAGTACAAGTTCTGACTCAGAACTAACACTTCTAGTACTTGAACAGAGACTCTTGTTAAGGTGGTTCTTCTCCTCACTGTGCTGGCATAGAGACTTTAAAAAAAATATATATTTAGTAACATTCTGTGCATATGTAAACACAATAATATTCCTCTATATACATTTCTGTACTCTTTAGAAATCACTGTCTATCCCCCTGGAAAATTGGGTCTTACAGAGTTACAAGTTTTGATCTTTGACTTTTCCATTGTCTTCTAGGCATATTCCTTCAGAAACTCTCTGCTATATAAAATTATAGATGACTTTTTGCTTAAGTTTTAAACATCTACTTTCACAAAGACTAATACACATGCCAATGCTTGCTTTCTTTGAGATACAAACTCTGTGTGCCATTATTGCTTTCTTGCAAGGGTCCTATCACTTCTCCATTACTAAAGAATTATTCCTTGCTAATTAAGAACATCAATTCCTCTTTTTGCTTCCTCTATCTCCTCCAAATTGAAAATGCCAACAAGAAATCAAGAATGGTAAGTTCTGCTTTTAGTAGAATTAAACTTATAGAAGACATATGAATAGCTGAGGTACAAAATTATTAAAATATGGTCTCTGCCCACTTTATATCATAAAAACCATGGCTTATATTATCCATATGATTAGGCTATTTGTAGTAGAATCCCGGGATAAACTGCTCTCAACTGTGTCCAACTTTTAGTTTTAATATTTCCAAAACAACACATAGCTCCCTAACAGCTCTAACTTTTCTGCTTTCTCTATTTGATGTCTTCCAAACAAAAATAACCTTCAGTGTCAGTGGTATTTTAGAATATATTTACCTCATTTAAAACTCCTGCTCACTTTGCTTATTATTTTAAACTGGTATATAGCAATGTAGGACCATAAATAGTAATTTTAAAACTTTTCCTTTGTTTTCTGCCTTCTCCTATGAATCATTAGAAACCTTTTTTTTTTTGGGTTATAATCATAATCCTGATTATATTGTTTAGCATGTACTTTTATAGTTCTATTTAAGTGTTCAGCCTTTCACTCTTTTTTCAATCTCTCATTTCCTCTTTCTTGAACCCTTCTGCCTTTTAATAAGTGAGCCTAGAAGCCGGAGTTCATTTTGCCCATCCTTATCTTTACTTCCTTCTTAGTTTTCTTTTATAGGCATAGGATAGTAAAGAGAACATTTAACAGGATGGCTAAAGTCCTTTTTTTCCAACCAGTTTTTCTTTTAACCATTAAAAAAAAAAGAAGAAGTCACGAAAGTTGTTAAGCCTCAGTTTAATCATTTATAGTACAGTGGTTGATGTGGGCCTAGATGACCTGTAAGCTTTCTCCTCATTCTACGATCACTAGAGTGATTAGGTATGCTGGCCTTGTACTTTTCTAATGTATGATATCTAAGGGAACTCACAGTATTTGGTTGGATACTGGTAGTTAAATATTGATTGAAAAACCTAAACGCCAGAACATATACAAGTCTTCCTTTTGATGAACAGAAGTCTCACCTGCAATTTATTCTGCCCCTCATTTTTTGCTCAGTTACATAGCTGATTAACATAAATAAAATTCAGGTTAAGAACCTCATCAATGTTTTCAAAACTATAGAACACATAAGCACAGAGGATTTAAAATTATTATTATTTTTAATAATTATTTAATATTTGCTATCCATTGTTCTAAGAGTTTTTAAATTTTAAGTCACTTTGTCCCTGTAACAACCTTATTCTTATCCCAATCTTACAGCTGAAGAAATTGAGAAACAGTTTAAATAACATATCCAGGGTCACAGCTCCACAGTAGTGAAGCTAGGATTTGAACTCTGCAGATCCTATACTATCAACAACACACTAACCAGCAATCGTTTCAGGGTAATTCTTTAAGTAACTTAAAAAATAGACAACAAACATCATAAGAGGGTTTCTTATAGGGGCAATTCTAGGGTAAATTCTTTTTTTTTTAATTATAAGAAGGCTAGAATCAAGGTGGGGCAAGCCAAATCAAAGTTTCAGTTTTCTACAATCCTCATGTAAGTTGAAGAAAAAAGTTTTTCTCAATCTTTAACAACTGAGGTGAACTGTAAGACTGGTTATATAAATGTAGCTACACCTTAATAAAGCAAGGATACAACAACAGGAAAGTGCACTGTAGGCTTCAAAAAGATGGGTGGCAATATCCAGTCTTTTAGAATCCACAATTTGTAAGTTGTTCACCAAGGCTAACTTATGTAAATGTGGTATAACAACTAAAAAAGAAAAAAAAAGAAAAAAAAGAAAAGTTATATTTTAATCTAAAACACACATACAAAACCCTGATACACGTTTAAAATAAATATCATTTTAATTTATTAAATTTCACTTTAACTCTGGATGATTTCAAAAGATTACCCATATCCTATGCTTGCTTTTTCTAACTAGGGATGAAAGTATGCTTTTCAAAATAAAAAGTGATCTGAAATTTGGGAAAAACATTTGCAACACTTTTACCGTTATCTAATTATGAGGATGTATATAGATCATTTGGCATCACTGTCATTCAAAGTCCCAATTTGAAAAATGAAGTCCAAATAAACAAATATAAACAACCTACCTCTTGTGTTGTCAATCCTTACAAATAAATTTCTTTATAAAAATAAAATGACCATTGCTATTAAATAACAGATAAATACAGTACACATTCTTTTTCAACAATGCATTATTTTACTCCTTCATAATGCTATTATTAGCTTTAGTTTCTCAAATTCTGATAAAAAACTATGACAAACAGCACTAGTGACTGAATTTTCAAGTGACTCAATGAGTTTAATATTCTCAAAAAGTAATGTAAAATTTCAACCTTCTGTTAAATAAAAGTGATGGCCTAAAAAACAATAACCAATTCAGCAGCAAAGAGCACCCCTACTGCCTAAGACTGTGTTTTCTGAAAACTATTTTCCACTAAAACCAGGGTTCTTTGAAGAAATGGCTTTAGTTGGTGTTTGTTAAATTGTTGACTACATGACCAATCATGAGACCGCTTTCTATTCTCTGTTTGGTTGGGGATCACAAAACACCACTCATAAACACCACAACTTCTTTCTTGTTTGCATTGAGTTTGTGTACATAAAAGCTACAATAATCTTCTCCTGGAAAAACAATTACTTTCTAAATAAACTGAGGCTATAATCACAACTTTCATGCTTAGCTTAGTACATGGCGAAAACAAAACAAAACAAAAAAAACAAAAAAAAAACAAAACAAAACAACCCAGATAAACTTAGAATAACAAAGGTCATTTTTAAGAGGACCTTTTCAAAATTAACAACAATTAAGAGGAGCTCTGAAAAATTTAGGAGACAAAAACTGCAGACATTCATTTGAAAGCTTCATTAATTGGCATGCTGAGGCAGAAACAAAATAAGACTCTAAGACAGTCTCTCTCAAAGACCTCTAATTTACTTCTGTTCAAACCTTCAGGAACTTATCTTACTTGTACTTTACTCATGTAAGGTCCCTTCATTACTTCTTCTTCTGAGTCTCTGATCTCTCTCCAATGTTTTTCTCCGAAACAAAACAATCACACCATACAATATCCCTTTAAAATTGTTTGACTAGAAGACAAATCTATAGAAATTCGTTTAAACTATCTAGAGGTAGTTAAAGGCTATAAGTAAGGATCTTCCTAATTCCTGGGAAAACAGGCAGAAATTTACTACAAAAGTCAAGGTTTTACTGGGCTACCAAATCCATCTTAATTAATCCACTTAATTGTTAACCCATCATATGCAGACAGATGGTTAAATGAAGTAGGAGATTAAAGACCAGAAGAAGATTTAATAATAACCTAGATAGACATAATTCTTTTTTTTAAGAGTTGAGGTCTCACTATGTGGCACAGACTAGAGTTCAATGACTATTCACAGATGTGATCATAGTGCACTACAACCTTGAACCCCTGGCCTCAAGTGATCCTCCTGATGTGGTCTCTAGAGCAGTTGGGACTACATGTGGCTTAGATGGGTATCATTCTAAAACTGGCTTTCAATGGGAAAGGAGAATAGGAAATACATAAGGACACTGCAGAAGTCTTTTTCTTTAGGGTAGATTGGACACATATTTAAAATCACAAACAAAATAAAAATAAGTCAACAAGAGACTTACATTATAAAACTGTATTTCAGAAAACTTTCCAAAAAAACCCACAAAAACAAACTCTGAGGTACACACAACAGTTGTAAAGGAAATCTTGTCTTTTTGTTTGTTTTTTAAAATGGGTTGAGATCTGAAAAAAGAAACTTGGGAGAAAACAAATCTGAAACGAAAAACTGTCACTTTAGAAAATCTCCAGTATATGACTTGAACATTTTCAGAGAGCCTTACAAAATAAAATAGCTGAAAAAAAGAAACTGTACAGTTGTCCAGGTAACAGAACTAGCCCCTGAAACAAAATTGAGACCAACTAAGAACTGGGAAAGAACAAGGGCCACTGAAAGAACTAATTTCCTCTATTAGCCAAGAAATAGAGGGACAAATATCTACGTACCCAAAATACCACTCCAAGGGAGACATTACCGACCAGAAATTATCTGTCCTTCCTGTAAACTCCCAAAGTGAATTGTCTATAAATAAAGATGGAGAACAATAAAGCATTCTTTCTTGACACAGGTACTATTTTGTCATTTATCTTGTTGACATAGGACCTAAAATTCCTCCAAATAAAGTTTTAAAGCAAAAGAAAAGCCACTTGATTGTGAAGTAAATAGGAGAGGGAGAGGGAGGGGGCGGAGGGAGGGGGAGAGAGAGAGAGAGAGAGAGAGAGAGAGAGAGAGAGAGAGAGAGAGAGAGAGAGAGAGAGAGAGAAGACTAGTTTTTATCTTAAAAAAAAAAGGTCTGAGGCTGGGTATGGTAGCTTTCTGGGAGGCGAAGGAAGGAGGATTGCTTGAGCCTAGACGTTCCAGATCAACCTAGGCAACATAGCAAGACCTCACCTCATCTATACGCCACCCCCCCAAAATGAGTCAGGCATGGTGGTATCTGTAGTCCTAGCTTCTCGGGAGGCTGAGATGGAAGGATTGCCTGAGCCTAGGAGGTCAAGGTTGCAGTGAGCCATGATCGTGCCACTGCTCTCCAGCCTGGGTGACAGAGTAGGAAGGAAGGAAGGAAGGAAGGAAGTCTGGTTGTGCCAAAATGTGAAAGAAGATGGTATAAGATATACTTGCAGGTATACAGTGAGTGGTAGGAGGCCTCAGGGATAATGGTTTACTAGACCTATTCAAGCGGTAGGAAAATCTAACCTAAATCTTTCCCCAAGCTAACCTTTAAGTATTATTTTAGGACCATTATGTACAAAAAATTTCTTCCTTCTCTCTTATGCAATGCCAACAAATTTTATAGGCAGTTATCTACTCTAAATAAAACTGTCAAAAAGAATGGAAGGATTTTTTTTAGATGTTCTTCAAAATTCTGGAAAGAGACATTAAGACACTGACGCTATGTTTGACTTGAGAAATAACAATAGTCCTAAAATGATTGAGAATAAAGGATTCCAAAAATACAACAAAACAAACTGGAACAGTCTATAAGAATCCTGACTGATTCCTCCGAGATTATCATAAATCTTTCTTTTGAATGTATAGGAAAAGAGGAAGATTTTAAGTCAGTCATACTGTATGGTCTACCCATGACCTATTTAGCTTATCCCTTCATCCAGGAGCCAAGAGTTATTCTCCTTGCCTCAGAGCAATTGTAGCCTCAAAAAAGTTAAAGCACCTTCAGAGTTCTTACTAGAATCACCTGTAAATCAGATGTTGTAACATGTGGAACTACCTTATTGTCAACTAAAATATCATCTTTTTTTCCATTAGTTGGCTAATTATGAATATATCTACCCAGTATAAGAAAATATCATGCATGTGATTCTGTAATTTGACCAGTGTCTATGTCCTCAACAGACCTTTGGATAACACAGTAGAAATCCTGACAGTATTTTTAAATGATGACTCATATACAAAATGGTACAGAATACCAGACTGGGTATGCAGTAGTTTGTTGGAGAATACAGTTTTTCATTAGAAATCAAACTGACTTACGTGGCCCAACCTGTGGCTCTCTCTAGAGTATGTCAAACTGCTAAAAATAAAAGGGCTAAAGTATAGCAGTGATAACTGATATGCTTTTAGCTTCATAATTTCTGGGTATTTTGATGCAATCCAAAGAAATTACTGTCATGAAGAGATACTGTAAAAACTAGAGAAAGTAGCAGATCATTTAGCAGATCAACAAGCTGTCAATGAAAACAAAGTGATATATCATGCTGAATGGCATGCTAAAATGGGAAAACTGTATATTTTTTCATAAGAACATGCCTAGAAACACATGAAAATTTTCTTAAAATAAAATAAACTCTAAGTATATAAGGCAGCAGAGTATTTAGTAATTAACAGCTATTAAGAAATGTTCTAAAATAACTTGAAATTAAGTTTATGAGTTACTTTTCATATATGTTTTACAGCAATCAGTATAGAGTGTAAGAAACATCCACTAGTAACAATACTGATCAATTCACAATAACACTTGTTTCATGTTCAGCTTTTAGTACATGAAAGATGTATAGCAAGGCTTTAACACGTGACAAATGCAACAAATCCTCAGAGAAGTTTCTGGCTTTGATCTTACATTACAATTCAGAAAAAAACGTAGAAAAATGCAACTTACACTCATCTCGGAACCTGGGTTCTGCGTTAGGCCCAACTCTACCAAATGTTTTTATGATCTCTGTATGCAAAGAATGCTGGTCTTGATACTGAGGATCTTCCAGGAAAGAAGCCAACTGCATTTTCACTCTTTCAAGCAACTTAAAATTGAACATTGTACAGTCATTTTACAGAATATTGAAAACTGAGTACTGTTGTTAAGGTAAAAAGCACACATTGAACATGGCTTGTAGCACTGGATTCAGACAATTTATATTCCGATGACAATAGAAATTTGTAATTAAGTAAGTAGTTATCTAATCTTTTGGCTTAGAGAAGGTTTCAACCTTTTGTTTATTTTTGTTAATTCCTAATTTAAAAAAACACAAATATTCTCTAACAAATTATAAAAATAAAAGGAAAAAAAGCCTACCATATATAGGGAAAAATAGGTAAGTTTATGACGATTTTGTATCTAAATTATAATTCTTAGAACAAATCACTGTAAGTTACCCAATTATTCACCTTCTGAAAGCAATGAGTCATTAATGACTTATATCTTACTCACATTTCCCTAAAAGACATTTTTATTTTAGGATTTGAGAACATGTTGAAATTCTGCCAAGACTGCAAGCTTTGCAGAAAGATGTGTTTTTTTTTCTGTTGCTTCACCAGTGAAACATATAAGTGAAAAAATGGGAAATAGTTCTATAACTAGCAAAATTATTTAAATTTTGTTATAAAAATATATAGGACAAAATAATTTTATTAAAATCTTTCCTTTTTGGGTAAAATGCTAGGTGACTAAGCAAAATGTCCACAAATAATCTATTTTCTAATCTTCAGAGTTTTTTCATCTGTGTAAGGACATATAACAAATAATAAAATTCTGATACAAATTTTGAGATGTATCTTACAGTTAATGTTATAGATAGAACCTAAAAATCTTTAAATAAAATCATAGATCAGAATCAAAGTATACTTTTAAGGAGGAAAACCTTGGTAATCTTCTGAAATAGGCATGACAGAGGGTCTGCACGGTGATATACTCTATAACAAGAGGATCAGTTCACTAAATGACTTCTACAGCTTGATATCAATAACACAGTTATCAGATACAGGTGCCCTCTCACCTTCATTTGCAAAATGAGATAGATTTGTGCCCCTATTGTTATCTGGTAAACAGTCTTCAAATCTGTGCACACTGGCAATCAAGAATATATGTAGACTGGCCAGAAATCTACAGGGTAATAAAGGCTTTGGAACTAGACCTGATTTGAAGGATTATTCATAATTGCAATATCCAGCTAGGCTTAAAAAAGAACATCTAAGGGTTGGTCTATATACATAATTTTCCAATTGAGGAGAAAAATTAGAAATTTCCTTAGGATATGGAAATATACCTTGGTTAGGTTATCATATTTTCACATAGTGAGATCCTCTTCTGCCCCATAACTAACAGATACAAAATGAAAGGTATGATGCTCCCTGACACCTACTCCTGGGTACATGTATGGTAATGTGTCATCATCACTGCAATAGTATATTAGTACATAGATATACATAAATTTCAATTATTTCCTACCTCTCTCTGAATTACTGTTTCCATAATAGTGCCAAAGGCTGGAATTGTGGCAATCCTGACAGAGCTGTTAGAATTAAAAAAAAAGAAAGAAAGAAAGAAACTGAAGCTTTTTTTGAGATGAAAAATGATTATTAAAATGTATATCAAAGCAAGTACAAGGTAAATATACTGTATTAGTCTCTAGCAATGACAAATTAAATTAAAAAACAAGCAGACCAAGAAGAATGCTCAAAAGACAGGCAGGATAACTTAAGGTCGCAGTCTGTGAAACTCACAATTCAGGATCACTGGACAAGGTAACAAGGGCCGGAGCAACCCGCTTGTCAACTAACGCTTCACTCATGCCTCGAAGAGTCAGCTGTAAACCAGTCAACATGCAATAAAAAATGGTTTGGTAAACTGGAATGAGAACTGTGTTAGCTGTGACTGAGGATGGGCAGGCAGACTCATTGGCCTTTCTTGGTTTAGTCATCCACACGAGACATTAAAATGTTAAGCCTTTGGTTCGTGCTACTACGCTTACTGGTAACAACTTGTTAGTGAGATTAGCAGAGCATCCTTTCTTGGCTTGAAAGAAACAGTCCATCAGCATGTTTTAGGCTTTGGAAATGTTTATTGAGTACTAATACTACTAATATATTTTTTCTATATGGGCCTCCAAGTTATGCTTACAGTGAGGGTTGTCTTGTACGGTAAGAACCATCACATATGAATAGTAATATAAAAAGTATAAAATAAAATAAACATAATCCAATATTATCATTTTAAAAGTATTCTTCAATAAATGCAAAAGCTGATGGCTATTTCTTGACAGGCACATTTTGAAAGGGATGCTGAATGTAAAAGGCAGGGATGACACTTACATTTCAGGGTCACTGGAGAGAGTAATGAGAGCAGGAACAACCCTCTGAGCTACCAGAGTTTCATTCACCCCCTTCACCAACAGCTGATTGGTCAGCGCAGGGGGTATTCACAGGTGATGCATTGGAAAGAGCAAACAGTGCGCCACGGGAGGGAGAAAGGAACAACCAAGAGAAAGAGAGAAAACACAAAAGCAAAACCAAAATTAGAAGCTAAGCAAATATTGCTACTAGAGTGCTTTACAAAGGCAGAGAATGCTCAGGAGGAAAATAAAGCTTCAACAGCCTAGCAGTTCATGAAAACAGATTTTGTCACCAATTCAATGGCAGTTTGTACTCTTGATCAAATAGTCTATGTAATTTCAATTAAAATGGAACTTAAATGCTTTACAAATAAAAAGTGAAAAAGAAGACACACATTGGGTTCTATAGCTACAATTCTCAAAGCAAATGAGTATAATTTTATCATGACCAACAAAGTACAAACTGGGCTGCTTGTAAACCAAACTCAACAGGCTAGTAGCCACCACTAAACCACTTATAATTGTGCTACAGCAGGTAAATTTAAAAACCACATAGGAAAATTCCAAACCTTTTAAATCACAGTTTTCTTTTTTGATAAGAGATATAATGCAGCCCATTGGAAAGTATTACACTTAGGAATCAGATCTGGGTTCAGACTCCAGTTCTCCACTTATTAGTGATATGGTCTTAGATATAGATTACATATTCTCTTAAAGCCAAGTTTTCTCATCTGAAAATGGTGATATCATCTATCTCAAAGGATTGTTATACTATTAATTTGCATAACATGTCTAAGTACTGTGCGCCTGACAAACAGCTGGCATTTGAGAAATGGCAGTGAGTTTAATTATTCTGACTACTCCAAGAATACAAAATTTGTGATGCATTTTAAAATAATTTATCTAATTAAAGAATTTTTGCTAGTAATATTTAAACAGTTCTTTGCTTTATAATTCTCTAAAAGCTCAAATAATTTTCAAAACAAGAATGATAAAATTAGATCTCTACATATTCAACATAAAAAACAAATCATTTAATAACCAGTGCTAAAACGTAAAACAAGAGGACAATATTGAGCTGTATGCATTTTGTTCTATAAATATTACCGAATTTTATGAGTTGAGTAGAAAAGGGCAATCTCCTTTTCAATTTCAGAAGGTAGCACACATTAATCCTGAATGCTCATCAATTTGCTCACCTAGTGACTAGTCCTCATAGAAGATCAAAGATATCAAAGATGCCATGGAATTTTCAGTAACAAAAACCACTATTGTGTACATATGTTAAGGTATTGCTTCTCTACATCAGAGAAGGCAAAGCTCATTTTATGTGAAGATTTTTAATTTTGGAATAATTTGTTACCATGTACTAACTGATTCAGAAGTAGATTTTAGAATCTACTTCAATATTTTGAAATAGTTTTTATTTAAAAACCACAGCTAATAAGGCATGAATAAAATTACAAAGAACTTTTATTACTTTGAACATTACAGATGTCAAAAGTAATAGGACAAAAAAGTTCAAAAAAAAGGTTTTTAAATAAAACTTTCTTTTTTGTATCATTTTCTAAATTAGATAGCTTAGATTTGAAACTGTAAAGTGTATCTTGAAATGTCTGCTATCTTGCGCCTACCAAAAACATTAAAAAAAGAGAATAAACTAGAGGACAAGTTAATTTTTTATTGTCCTGGGGTTTTTAAGTACAATTTCTTTACTAAGCTAGAAAATCTAAAAGTAAATTTGAGAGCCATCAATTATTACACACTTTATACATAATATGTCATTTGATCTTTACACTTGATGAAGTAGGCATAAACACTATTGGTATTTTAACAAATGAAAAAAACTGAGGCTGACAGAAACTGAGTAACTTGTCCAGAGTTTTAGAGCCTAAGGAGCAGAGCTAGAAAATGAACTCTGTCTCACTGGACTTAAAGTCCATGCCTTCTTTGAGTTGTGTCTAATGCTACACATTCAATTTCCTTATGTTTGATATAAAAACTAGTTATATAAAGTTCTTCCTGCATCTTTTGGGACATTCATTATGTCACATTGGGAATCACATGATAAATTTCCCTCAGAAAATAATTTCATTAATTTGCTACCACAAAAATATATGGCTTCTTATTGAACAATGAGAATAATATGATTAATTTGGGTTTCTCCCCTTTTTTCCTGCCATCTGAAAACTAAGCTAAATTTAGAGTTCAATTTCAGTAAATGTCTCCTATTAGGTCCCAGTAAATACACTTATTACTTCTGAACAGTTTCTGGTCTCATTTTAAAAAATGATCTTAGGTGTCATGTTTTATTTTGAATTAACTCATTTTCAGGGAAAGTAAGCATAATTCTAAATTATAAAGTATTGGTATAAAAAAATTCTTATGAACCATATTTACTCTTAAAAAAATACTTGGGGCTGGGCACAGTGGCTCATGCCTGTTATCCCAGCACTCTGGGAGGTTGAGGCAGGAGACTGTTTGAGCCCAAGTGTTCAAGGTCAGCCTAGGCAACATAGCGAGACTTGGTCCTACAAAAAATTTAAAAATTAGCAGGCGTGGCGGTGCATGACTGTAGTACCAGTTACTAAAAAGGCTGAGGTGGGAGGATCACTTGAGCCCAGGAGGTCAAGGCTGCAGTAAGCCATGATCGTGCCACTGTACTCCAGTACTGCAGCTTGGGTGACAGAGACTCAAAAAAAAAAAACAAAAACAAAAAAGAAAAAGCGTTCAAAATAAAGATTACTGACAAAAAACAGGAACTTTAATTTCTCTTACTCATAACTTTTTCTGACATGCTCAGTGAAATTTTTTTTATCTTAAATGAATTTGAAAAATATTGAAATAGTCTCTTAAACTAGACTTTGAACTTCATAATTAACCTAACAGAACACTGAAAACTGCCGAAGCATAGGTACAGTTTCCAAACCAGCACCAACAGCAGAGAAACCAAATCCAGACATAAGCCACATATAACAAAACAAGCAAAAAACCCCCAAAACAAATGGGAAAAAAAGAGGATACTTCATTTTATTTATTTAAGTTATTTTCATTTATATGGTATGCTTCACGAGTGCAAATACACATTCTAGAGACAAAAGGTTTAAGAGAAAGAAGTAGTTTATATAGTCTTAGAATAAAATCTTATATCTAAAAGGACACTTTCGGTGGTGGGAAGGGAACTGAAGAACAACTTTTCTCTCAAAATGCTCCCCTTTCAGCATATTGAATAATCAAAATTATTTATACCAAAAAGGAACTTGTGCTAGATATAAAACCAAATACTACTCTGGCATTCACCTTGACAGAGAGACTGTGATTATAGCTTTTTTGACTACCTATAATAATAACCAAGAAAATAATATAAATGGAAGATCTTCAACTTCCTGATAACAATGGAATTTTATTTAAAGTTCACGAATCTAATTTATATATTAAAAAATTTTTAAAGACATATCTTTTAAAAAGATTAGTGCCCCATCCTTCTAGTAATTCATCTTAAATTGTGAAGAAATTCTGAAATTCAGGAAGATTTGATTTCCCAATTCTTTGTCTAGAAATAAATGCTTTAAGATTTTTTTTTTGAGAATCACATGTATATTAGGGACAATTTTAGCTTAGATAAGTGTGTGCTTCATATACTATTACATTATTTTGTGGAGTAATAATAGCATAAATGAGAAAAATAACAATAATGACAGTTAACATTTATTAAAAGCTCTTATTCTGTTCCAGACACTGTATTAAGGACTCTACAAAAATTAATTCCTTTAATATTAACAAAAATCCTTTAAGATGGAGACTTTGAGATAGATACTTGTTATTAACAGCTTCATTTTGTAGGTGAGGAAATTAAGGCTCAGAGAAGTTCAAATTGTCTAAGTAATTTACAAAGTCACTGGGTGGCAGAGAGGGAAACTGAACCCAAGCAACCTGGCTCTATTGCAGGACTAAAATTCGACAAGTAACAGTACACTAATTTTAGTGCTCAAATAAAGTTCTAAAAATATGTACATATAAAAAAACACACAAGGCTATGTCATAATTGGAGATATGATGGGTATAAAAGATGGGTATTTCAATTTTTATACTTAACTTGGATAGATAGCAATTAATAAAATCTAGGTAAATTACATGGACAGTTATTTACCTTTTATGAGTCTATGAGCACTTAATATATTGGGATGTTATTCCACATGATATGTGAGGAAATAGTGAAGTAGAAGTAATTAACAAAATAAATATTTCCTTAATTGCAATAACTGATTTTCTAAAGCAATTGATGAATTCAACTATATCTTACAATTTGAAAGATACCCTACATTATTTTAGTTTAGTAGTCATTAACCTTAGAAAATAGAAAAGTATATTCAGAAAAATTTATATAGGATAGAAAGTAAATAAGTTTTAAAAGAGAAATTGAGAAATGCAATTGATAACAATAATATTCAAGGAACCAGTAAGGCTAGAAAACATTCTTAAATATGCCAAAGCTAAATTTCTGCCCCATCACACAGTACACAACTAGACACTGTTCAATGCCATAAATTATATATATCAACATAACATGGTATAAAAAAAGCCTTTTGAAAAAAATTCCTTCCTCCCTCTTCTTAAAAAAAGGCATTTTTGACATACCTCAAACATTCTAGCAGCAGTACACCTCACAAGTGCTGAAGTATGGACAACACCATACCACAAAACAGTTAACAGTAACTCATGGTAGGCTGGATTTGCTCTAGAAGAAAAAAAGATCAATGTCAAAATTGAGAGCTGCAGTGCCTTACTGGTGTACCAAAAAACACCATATCTATAAGGAATATTAATAATAAAAATATTGGCAGAATATATGTAATTACTTCATACGGTTAAATAGGTCACAGCTAAAATTGTTAAAAAAGCAATGTCACCTTATATAACCACAAACTTTTAGCATATTGAGAAATTGCACTTTTAGCTTCTCTAACTATTTGCAACTGTGACAAACTTCAGCTCTTTTTAATAGCATGCAAAATTATAAAGAAAGAAAAATAAAATTTCTCTATTAGAAAGAAGAAAGAACACTGGACTAAGAGTCAGATGGATAGGTTACAACCTTTGTGGGTCTTGGTTTATAAAAATTGAGAAAGCAAGGGGAGGGAGGGGCATACCTCATCAACAAGGGTACCTGTATAACAAACATTTGTATACCTAACCCTGAATTGTATTCCACACCTTTAAAATTAAAAAAAAAAAAAAACAAAAAATTGAGAAAGTTGTACATGCTCTATTTATGTCATATGGTTGTAGGATCAAATAAATCAGTCCAAAGCATCTATATCTAGAAGAGTGTGCTGGCTGTGCAGCCTATCTAAATGTAAGCTGACATTACTAAACGCATGAGTCTGTTTTTAGCAATACTGAGCTAAAACTACTTTAGCAGCTAGATGATGTGATACTGAGCAGGACTAAGCAAATTAAGCAGAATTTAAAAAGGGCTAAAGGAGCTGGTTTTCACTTGGGGATCCTTTCTCAGTTCTAGGAAACTACATTTTCGACAAACCTTCTTGATTTTAATTCTCCAACTGCTTCTAAGAAAACATGTTTGTGTCCTTTCCTCTACTATTTTTATTACAATGTATTGATTGAAAAATATTAGGAATGTACAAAGTAAAACTACAGACAAATTCTGAAGTCTCAAAGCCAAAAGAATTGGTGTATGCCAGTCCCTTTAGACTTAAAATATGTACTCTATACATCCAACTGTAAAACTTTGTAAGTCCTTTAACAAACTATAAGCTGTTATTTTTACCCCAGTTCCACAAAAGAAGCCTTCAGGCTATCAAGAGGAGCATGAGATAACGAAAGCAGGGTCATTACATCTTCTAAGAAGCCAACTAACAGTTTCCGGTCTTCTTCCTACAGAGGAAAAATACTGTTAATAAATTTCCAAACAATCAAGTAGATCTAAATACCATAGTTACCTACCTATAATTAGAAAATGTTACTATATAAGGGGGAAAATACTAATTTGGAAGATTTTATTTATACTTATTAAAATATAAAGACATAATATATTTATTAAGCATAGCTATGATCAGAATGGTATGAGGACAAAGACTACCTTGATTCTTTGATTTGAACCTCTACTGTCCAATATGGTAGCCACTAGCCATATGTGGTTATTTATATTTAAATTTAAGTTAAAAATTATGTAAAATGAAAGATTCAGCTCCTTAATCACATGAGTTACAATTCAAAGCCTAAACAGCAGTTGTATCTAGTGCTTATCATATTGGAAAACTCAGATATAGATTGTTTTTATCATTGCAGAAAATTTTATTGGATGGTCCTAATTTAGAATGTTAAAAGGTATAATCTTTTATTAAAATTTACTTTACCAATTTTAGTTCCCATGAATTTGCCTCTATATAGTTAAATACAGTTATCTCCCTAACAGTAGAACATTCATTTCCAAGAAATTATCTTTGCAACATTCTGGAGGTGAAAAATTGCACACTTGGTGAAATATTGACTACTGTCTTCTTAAAAGAAATAGTCACACCCCTTGATTAAAAAACAATCTGTATTTTTAAAACTTTTTTCCATGAATCATTATTACTTTCAAAATCAGAAAACCTTTCTTATGTAGCACTTTATTAAGAAATATGTTAGAATAAGTCAAACCTGCTAAATTAGGGGAGTTAAAAAAATAACTTTGCATAGTAAATTAACCTGAATCTATAAGGGAAGGGAATCTGAGAGTCAGGAAAAAATATATAATAAATTAAAGTCAAGTTATCATTAGCAATCTATGAGTGCTATCTCAATTTACTACACATTTTGCAACAATCTGAAAAGTTCTTATCTCTTTAGAGACATGAATAACATATTTGGGCTTCATAGTAACATAAGAGGTCAATAATAAATAGCTTTTGTACATATCAATAGATCCATGAGGAAGACTAGATGACTACCTATCATTTTTTTCCCTACATAGTCAAGTTAATTTAAAATGAGATAGAGATAAAGGATTGACAAAAGCAATGGTTAACATGACAAAAAAGATGAATATAGCTGTTTTAAGACATAGCTTTGTTAGTCCACTTAGTAAAAAGATGTAGACACTAGCAAACTAATATCAGTCAATGTCAGAATAGGGATTTCACCCATTTTTAGTTGCCTACTATGTGATACATAAAATAGATATAACTTTGGAAAACAAACTGGAAATCTGAAAAAAAACAACAACAAAAAACCCATAGGAATTAAATAAGAGCTATAGAATACACTTCTTAAAGGGCATAAATTCTTTTGATTTCAGAAAATTTACTATAATCTTATTTCTCATTTTTGAAATCTCAAAACTAGTAATATTACTTATGTATTTGATCTGAGATCGTTTTTGTTTAATAGTTTCTGTTTACTGGAACAAAATAGCGCTGTGATTTATCCTAATGAAAATTTTTGTTTAGCAAGAAAAATATTAATTGCTGGTGTGTGCTTTCTAAAATAAGAAACACTGGCAACTTGTGATTACTACTTCAACTTACTATCCATTTTGTAACAAGTTGAAAAGTTCTTCCCTTTAAAGATATGAAATACATATGTGGACTTTACAGTGACTCAAAAGACATTCCATGTTCCTTATTCATTAACTCAACAGATGTATTCTGAGGGCCTGCTATGAGCCAAATCTTATAATTGGTACCTTGCTATGTTTTAAAATGCTAGTTATTGTCAAAATAAAAAACTTACAAAGGCTAAAAGAGAGAGAGAGAGAGAGAGACACACACACACATACTGACATTATACTTATTATGCTGGAACAGCCTCCAAAATTAAAGAAAGAGGAGAATTGTATAATACTATTGTGGCTGCACTGTGTTAGGACTTCATATTTTTGATCTCCCAAGAACTGAATTAGATACACACAATCTAATAACATATATGACTTAAAATATCTTACACATAGAATAGAATCCATATTTTGGTAGTCTTAGAAACTAGTGCAGAAAAGAAAAATTTTAAAGAATACTATGCTATTTTTACATAACTGGAACTTCTACTGCAAGATATGACACTGTAGAACTACATTTTAATACTGTAAGATGATTCCAATTTGTTTTGAAAGAAGAATATAATAAATATAAATTCATATACTTTGTATTCAAAAGCCAAAAGAAAAGAGTTAGTAGTGAGTAAAAGTCCAGGAAACCACTGATAAAAGGTGTTTCTTCTTCATTCTTACATTCTAACTTCTAAAAATGCCTTAACCTGAGTCTGTATTTCCAATTTACTAGTGGGACTGCCTCAAACACCTCGACACACCCCATGTGTCATTGACTTAAAACATGTTATGCAGAGCATGGCAGTCTGTCACATGGGTGGCCACCCATGAGCCACACCTCTTGGTTCACATCCTGGCTTAGTTTCCTCCTCTTTAATCTAGGCAAGGTCTGTAACTCATTTAACCAGCAGGCTGTAGTAGAAATGATGTACTAATTCAAGACCTAAGTAGATTCTGCTTTTACATTATTGGGAGACTTTAACCACCATATGATAAGTCTGACGCTGCTGCTCCAGAGGCCTTGTGGAGAGAGAAAGAGGCCCTGGAAACTACATGCAGAGTGGAGCTCAGTTATCCTGAGACTCCATCAATCAACCTGCCTATTGCCGCAAGAGGAGTGACCAGCAGCGGGAACTGCAGAAGAGGAGCAAGCTGAGTGAAGTCCTGGTTGCAGAATCATGAGCAAATAAAACAGTGATTATACGTCATTAGATTTGGGGGCAGGTTGTTATACAGTAAAAATTCAGGAAAATAAGGTACAGGCTGAGCATCCCTAACCTGAAAATCCAAAATGCCCCAAATCTGAAACTTTCTGGTCACCAACATGATGACACAAGTGAAAGCCTGTGGTTGTTCACTATGTCTGCTGTTTAATAACTTATATAGCTATTCTGATAATGTCACTGAACTTAGTTACCCCGAGCTCATTACTTTTTCTTTTTTTGAAAGCAGGATTTATTGAGAGGACAGAAAAGCTCCCATGGTGGAAGGGAACCCAAAGGGGCTGCCCAATTACTTTTGCACTGTATTCATGGTATATCATATTTTTTACTGCTAAGCACCCATGTGCGAATGAGTATAAGAAAATGATTGCTTATTGATGAAATGCAGTCAGGAAGGACAGTGATGCGATACAACCACAGATTGTCCACATAGATGGCTGTGATAGTGACACCTTTGCTAGCTGATGGTTCAGTGTACACAGAGTTTGCTTCATGAACACAATTATTAAAAATATTGTATAAAATTACCTTCAGGCTACATGTATTAGGTATGTTTAAACCAAATACATCTTGTGTTTAGACTTGGGTCCCAACTCTAAAATATCTCATTATGTATATGCAAATAATACCTATATCTGAAAAAAATCTGAAATCTGAAACACTTTTGGACCCAAGCATTACTGATAAAGGCTCCTCAACCTGTATTATTAAAATTTACTTTGCTAAAAATGATGATATAGTGTCCTATAGTATTTTGTAGTTTAGTTAACACAACACATGTGCTCTGTCATATACTTATCATGAAACAAACTCTGCTAAATAAACGCAATCTAACACTTCTAACAAAATAATAAATAATTCATAATCTTTAAATGTATTTGTTCAACTGAGATTTTACTCAGACACTTAATATTCAAATATCCTCTCCCTTATAAATTATTTACTGAATAAAATAAACAAATTTTGTTTTTCCTTTATAATAATTTTACCTATATATACATTAATAAGACATCACATTAGTGTTTTCTAAATGGAAAGTACTTTTATTGAAGAGTGAGAACTTTTTCCTCACCTGAATATAACATGTAAGGACTCCTGTTGCATAAATGGGAACTGTAGCTTTAGTGAGGACACCATTTCCTGCAGAGGAATCTTAAAAAAAAAAATCATTAAAATAATTTTTAAAAATGAGTATATTTTAAATGGAAAGAAAAAGCCACAAAGCAACTATATTTAAAATTACAACTGTTTACTAGATTACAAATAAATATTGTTCCATTGACAAATACTGTGATTAAAATACATTTCTACCAGTTGTATAAAAATCAACTTAAGGTTTCTTGAAGAGCTGTTAGTATAAACATTTCTGATAAATGGGAAAGAACTTTAATAACCAAAATGAGATGTTACTCTCCTACTTCCAAAATCTGAAATAAGAGTCTCTTGAATGCCCATATTGGCAGGTCTTCCAAAATTTTTAGATTTTTAATTTGCAGTATTTAGTAAAACATAAAGGCACTCAGCTAAAAGCATCTAGAGGTTATTTAGTCTGCTTTCAGATATAATAGTCTACCTAGTTTCCAGTGTAAGCCTAATATCTGAGCCCCTCCTGCATCCACACAGGTTTTTCAGTCAGAGAGCCCTGATTATTTTCATGGAGGAAGGAATCAGGTTGAGTAAAGCAGAGAGAAAGGGAAAAGCATGCAACCATAGGTGTGTGCCCTGTGACTACTGTGTAACAAGAGACTTTCTTATACAGCAGCTGTAGACAATTTCAAAATAAAAGTTCCAGAGATGATAAGATGTTAATTATTATTTACAACACCAAGAGCTCTCATTTATTAATCATGAGGCACTGTTTGAAGTGCTTTATGTTTGCTCTTATGTTCTCAAGATTACTATTTTTCATTTTTTTTTTGTTTGGTTTCAAATTATTTTCAGAAGCTACTACATAAAGAAAAATAGAGCCATATTCAACTAACTGCTCTGAAGAAATTTTAGCAAAAATGAAAGTTTCACTTTCACATTAATTAGTATTTGAAGATTTTTTTTTTAGTCAGGGGTCTCACTCTGTTGCTCAGGTTAGAGTGCAGTGGCGCAATCATGACTCACTGTAGTCTCTACCTCTTGGGCTCAGGTTATCCTCTCACCTCGGCCTCCCAAAGTGTTGGGATTACAGGTGTAAGCCACCACACCTGGCCAGTATCTGAATTCTGTTTATTCTCTTGTTAAGAATAAATTTTCCTTGAGGATAGTGTTGATGTTAGTTGAATATGATGATGGTAGTGATGGGTAAATCTGAGGCTAGAAACATATGTTTAAACTGTATTCATAGATATGGACTGTATATACAGAAGTTAATAATTATTTCCTTTCTGAATGGCTAAACATTTATGGCTAACTAATAATTCCAAAAGTTGTCAGTTTTAAAAATATTTAATTTTTTCCTCACTCATATTTCATCAAAGCTAATAATAAACTAAACAGATAATACCAACAAGTTAGTCATTCCAAACATCAACCCTTTAGAAAACTATTAAAAATAACCTCTGAGAATCATCCCCCACCTCAAATCTCATCAATGTTTTCAAACTTAAAGAGAGAATAATTCATTTACTCATTTTCTAATACCTCTGGAGTGGCCAAAAGAATAGTTTTCTAGACTATTCAAATCAAGTCACTAATGTAGGATTCAGATAATTATCTATAGAATCAAAATAAACCACATTAAAAATAGGGGTGGGATGGGGTGAGGGGCTGTTACACATTCTTCTAACATTTTCCACAATTTATTTCTAGAAATTAGAAAAACACACAGGGACACAAGATCTACATAAGAATAACTTCTTAGGCCAGTAGTGCTGTAACTATATCTATATATATTTATTTTATTTTATTTTGAGTTGGAGTCTCGCTCCATCGCCCAGGCTGGAGTGCAGTGCACCCACGACCACCCCATTGTCGACCTGCTGGGCTCAGGCGATCCTTCCGCCTCAGTCTTCCAAATAGCTAAAACTACAGGTGTGCACTACCAAGCCTGGCTAAATTTTTATTTATTGTAGAGATGAGGGCTCACCAAGTTGCCTGGGCTGGTCTCGAACCCACGGGTACAAGCAAACCATTTACCTCGGCCTCTCAAAGTGCTGGGATTACAGGTTGAGCCACCTAGTCCAGCCTGTAACTAGACTTCTTAATAGAAATGAGCAAAAACTATCAACAAAGGGGCTGGAGTTACCCATTCAAGCCTGTAGTTTCTTTAAAACCTTATGTTTCATTTTAAAAACATGTATGCACATATTTCCTTCTTTTCCATTATGCTTGTTTTAATTTTTAAACGTTTTAAATAACTAATTATGAATTAGGAGTAGCTTAATTGATAATTTTCAGTATCTTGAATATACCACTCCAAATCTCGAAGAGTATGAGTTCCCAGCATGAGAAGCTCAGTCATAGGTCAATTTGGTTACAATTAATATTTATAATCAAATTGATAAGGACTAACCTCACTACCCTCATGGGAAGACTATTAGATGTGACACAGTTCTGATACCCAGAACTCCATAATATAAATTTCCCTTTTCAATTGTACTTGCTAGTTCATTTATACAATAAATACATATATGTGCAGAATATAATATTTTTCCTGAATAAAGAGATTGAATTGTTGTAAAAAGTAATAATAAACAAACTTACCAATATTTTCTTCAGACAGTCTTAAAATCTCCTGGAACTGAGGTTTTACCTAAGCAACACAAAGAAAAGATGCAAGAAGTCTCAGGTGCAATGACTCAATCAACCTAATAAAATGTTTATTACTACTACTACTACTACTACTACTACTGTCTATTTATTTATGTTTTATAGACTATTAAGCAAAATTGTTAGAAATGTAGTAATTCTTAATTATGAGGCTTAGGGTAGAATGAGAGACAAATTACTGAATATAACCTTTACAGATAATTAAAAAAAAAAATCAATTCAAGTCAAAAAGTATTTTCTCAATGGCTTTGATTTCTTTCATCATATTAAAATAATTTCAAATATGACTTTAAAATGCTTGAAATTACTGCCTCCTAAGACTGAACTTGGTGACACAAAGGTTATTCAGGTAGATATTTTAAGATCAGTATTACTGAAAAAAATTATTTGGCTGTATTAAAAAAAATGAAAAGGAAATCCCAGTCATTTAGGGTGTTTAATAAATAACATTCATCATGTGATATCCATCTTAGAATAATCTTTTAAGTAACTTCTTAAAATATAAATATCAAATGTAGAATTGAACTTTAATATTTCAAGTTGACACAAATGCTTGTTTAAACTTTTTCATTGTTAAAGTTGTCACAGATTTCAGGTCACTGATATGACTTCTTCCTGTTAAGTGAATAAGTAGAATCCCACTTGCTTTTCTAAAAAAAAAAAAAAAATACCTATTTGTTTTGGAGATGTCAAACCATTTTTGCCAATCTTGATAGCAGCAAAATAAAATTATATTTGTTTAACAACTGAAGTGAAAAATGTAAAATGATCTTTTTTTCCTACAATTACACTGAAGTTTTGGTTTTTGCTTCCTATCTGTAGGTGAGGCAATGTTAACTTACATACTCAACTCAAACTGAAAGAAAGACCACTGCTAAAAGATTAATTTACTAAAACCTACTTATAGAATTAAAAGACACTGAAGCAACTTCATGAATTTTACACATGAAATATTAAGCCCAGATAATTTAAATTATTTCTTAAAGGTCACAAACAGACCGGGTTGTTCGGTGGCTCAGCCTGTAATCCCAGCACTTTGGGAGGCCGAAGTGAGTAGATTGCCTGAGCCCACAGGTTCTAGACCAGCCCGGACAACTTGGTGAGACCTCATCTCTACAATAAATTGAAAATTAGCTGGGTGTGGTAGTGCGCGCCTGTAGTTCCAGCTAGTTGGAAGGCTGAGGCAGAAGGATTACCAAAGCCTGGCAGGTGGATGCTGGAGTGGCCGTGAGTGTGCCACTGCACTCTAGCCTGGGTGACTGAGTGAGACTCCAACTCAAAAAAAAAAAAAAAATCACAAACATTGATCAGTAGGTTATAGGGTCATAATCAAAGTCTTCTGAATTTTGTCCAGTGGCATTATACCACACTGTTTTACTTGAAATGCTTCAACTACAGATTTAATAAAAAAGAGCTGTACTAAATTAAATGTGATAATTAAAATGCCTAACTTTTAAATATGTTTATTAACATTTAATTATAGCAACTACTTTTAATGTTTTTATTAGCCCTCTAAAGGAATAGGTTAACAATAAGCTATGAAGACAAATGGATTAACAGAATTAACAAAGAAACTGGGATCTAAGGATTTTCCAATGTTAATATCTGAAACCATAAAATAACTTGTATAGGCAAATGTGACAAGTGATACTTTTCGTAGTGACTGAAATACATAGTATTATCCCCAAGTGTTCAAGCTATTCTAGGAAGAAGTGTCTTTGAAGCAAGTTTTATACACAAGTTGCTGTGGTTCCACAATTGTCTGAGGTCTTTAGCCAAGTGTGCTGAGCAAACAGCTGCTTCCTGAACCTGTGGTAGACAGTACCAGCAGCATATTCAAAAGATTGTGGTTGAGTTCTCTAGCTGATACTTCCTATATTGAAAATCTTTGAGGATATCCACAATGAGTAAATCTTATATCTAAGTCTGGCTACAAATTAAGTTTAGGCTAAATCATCTGAAAATCAATAAAAACAAGAATATTACCAACTAGAATTTTTTCACTATAATAGTATTCTAAGATATTAAACAATAATGAGATTAAAATATAATTTGAGCTTTTTATCTATTCTGCTGTAGAGTTAACACATTACATTTCTTATATTTGCATATAAGAAAACATAGAATATACAAGTTTTTACCTTAGTGTTCGTAAAAATTTTGCCAAATGTCCGGCAAAGGCGCCAGAAAAATCTGGAGAATTCATGGACACAGGCAGTTGAAGTAACATTAATTTTGCCAACTATTTCTATAAGTTGTGGCAACCTGAATATGAAAGGAAAGAAAAATAGGCAGGGGATACATATAAATTACTGTTTCCTTGCCAATTTCTGAAACAATGTAAATCCAACAATCTCTTCTACTTTGTTCTTTGAAAGCAAAGTAATTGTTTGGGACCCTTTGAAAAGGTCTTACTTTCTACTATGTAAGCTTTTTAAAATAAATTTTAACTGTTTTGCCATAAAATATAAGAAAACTTAATGGTAGAGTTCTGAGTATGCAGTTGAGACTAAATCTATGGATCTGATACTTCGCACAAGAACGTGGCTAACATGGCATCCATTTTAGCCTAAAAAACGAGAAGTGTGGATGTAGTTTACAATCCATCACCACTACTGGACAAACAAAATGGCAGAGAGATCCTTTTGACATAATACAGCAGCATCTTCTTCACAGATAAATACCTATAGATTCAGTGGTGTGAATCTCCTGTTCTTAAGACATTTATCATAGATGATGCTAAGTTGCATTTTGAAAATTTTGTTGTTTTGTTCCTCAGTGCCAAGGCTAATTATTATGAGCTACCTTCCATTCAACTGATCTAAGTACACCAAATGAATATGGAGAGGGTAACTTACAATTGATTGACCACCCATAGCAAACTCTCCCAGCCTGTTGTACCCTCGTGTTCCAGCTGGTAATCATAAAGTTGTAGCAGTACTGCCAATTGCTCACGACTTCCAATAATGGTGGATACATCTTGAAGAGGTGACATAGGCCGAGGAAACCTAGTTACTATAATAACAGAAGCAAAATAAGTCACATGGAAAAAGGGCAGTTTGGGAACTTAGCTTTTCTGTTAAAAGGAAAATAAGGTCCTTCTTCCTCATATTTAATTACCTTCTTATTATAAACTTTAAATATAAAACAAACATATTTATCAAGTCTTTTTAGGTAAAAAGAGAAATTCTTGTCATCTGAGAACAAATTCAAGAAATCCCAAAAGTTAAAAAGATTTTATGAGACTAAAGTTAAATGGAATACTGTAATGAAACTGTTTGCTAATGAATAAAATTTCATTTAGGTTAAATTAAAACTGCCCAAAGATAAAACTCTTAGCTAAAACATGGATCTGAATGTCATATTAAAAAAAAAAAAGGCTGGGCTCGGTGGCTCAGCCTATAATCTCAGCACTTTGGGAGGTTGAGGCGAGTGGATGGCCTGAGCCTGCAGGTTCTAGACCAGCCTGGGCAAACTGGCAAAATCTCAGCTCCACAAGAAATAAAAAACTAGCCCGCGCCTGTAGTTCTGACTACTTAGAAGGCTGAGGTGGAAGGATAGCCGGAACCCAGCATAGGTTGACGCTGGGGTGGCCATGAGCTTGCCACTGCATTCCAGCCTGGGCGACAGGGTGAGATTCCAACTAAAAAAATAAAAAAAAGAAAATCTTGTAATTCTACTGGACAGCTTACGTCAATGAAATAGTAAATATGATAAACTGTTTCCTGCAGGGAGTAAGGAACTAATAGGTTAAGAGCAGAGAAAAAAACTGTTTAATATAGAGAATAATGATATAAAATGCATTAACACTTCAGCTGAACAGGTTTCTTTAGTATTTAATTCACAATATTAAATGCTTTATGAAATTTTTCATAGGTTAATAAACATTAAGTTAATATAAAGTATTAAAGCCAGTTGTAACCAGGGTCCTATGTTATATACTTTAAAAGTTTCTGAGGAAAACTGAAAAACTTGCTTTTAAAATTCTATAAATGAAATGTGAATATATATATAAATAAAATAATTCTATAAATAAAATGTGAATATATATATAACCTCATATATTTAAAAAGTCTAGACATATCAATAAAAACTATAACCCTACAGAGAGTAACTAGATACCAAGTTTATTAAGGGACTACTTCTTTGATAGCTATTAAATAAATAATTTATACCAACAGCTTATTAACTGTTGGTCAGAAACTTCTAATGAAGGCAACCCACATAAAGGAAAACCCTCTAAAAAGACACATAAGGATGACACATTTTCAAAACATATTAAGGTTTTAATGATAATTACTAACTTCAAGAAAATCTGAAATAGCACCTAATTTTGAAAAATACTCAGTAACAAAACTGTGTTCCTATCCTGTACCAGGTATTTAATAATATATTAAATATAGATAAATGCTTTTGCTATCTGAACTCTTATTTGCTATCATAACACACAAAGAAAGAAAGATACGGCTAACATGATATTTTCACTATCTAATGAATAAATTCTCACTGTCTCAACATAGGAATCACATAGATTTGGATGAAGACAGATATTTGTGCTTCATATTTCTGTATCATGTCAAAGCATATCTGATAAGATTTCAAACAGGGTTCTGTTATATTGGTCACAATCTTCTCTACTATGATGGACGATGCTATTTCTTAAAAAATACTAATAAATTATTGAAAAATAATGGAATAGTTAAAAGCCTTGTCCAATAGAAGTAAAATGATGTTGGGAAATAAGCAATTACATGAATGACAAAGTGATTATACATAAGAAATCAAAATAGTTTGGGAGCCTCAAAATATTATTCTATTAAACTGTAATTTTTTAAAAAACTGAGTATCTAACTTACAAAAACACAGAAAAGCTGTCAGAATGCCACTTTAACAGGCTGGCAAAACATCAGTATTTTACTGTCAACAAAATAACCACACTTATCCAGCAAAATAACAGTTGTTTTGAATCTTTAATATATTTCTCCCAATTGGAATGCAAGCTCTATGAGCATAAATTTTTGTCTATTTTATTCATGAGTGTATCCCCAACTGTCTAAAACAGTGCCTCACATAAATATTAGTTCATGTTATAGAATACATTGGTAATAAAGATATTTGGGTTACCCTTTTTATGAGAAGACAAATCTTCATTCATAATAAATTATATCTCCTACTATCTATCTATCTGAATATACATACAGACATAGATTTATGTATACACCCTCAAAGAGGATACACTAAATCCTCAATTATTATAAATACATTATAACCTAAATGAGGGCATAGTAACATTAACATTTAAGTTACTGTTAAAAGACAGAGAATAAAATTAAGGAAACAAGAACTGAAAATCTAAAAAAAAATCACAAGGAAAGGTCAAAAAAATATTAGAAGGAACATATTCAGGATGATAAAGAAGTTGTTTTGAAACTGCTCTCTCTAATTTTTGTTAAGCACAATTACCATATGCTTAACAATAGATGATATTCCATAATTATTTGTTAAATAAATGATGGAATAATAAGTATAATAATAAGGAATAATTAGTATAATAATAAATAATATGACTGATGTCCTTATAAAAAGGGGAAATTTGGACACAGAAACAAGCACAGGGAGAGCGAGCCATGTGGAGACAAAGGCAGAGGGCGGGTGATGCATCTGTAAGCCAAGAAGACGGCCAGCAGCTGGAGGAAAGCACGGAACAGCTTTCCCCTCAGAGTTTCAGAAGGAGCCGCCCTACCAACACCTTGATCTCAGACTTCTTGCCTTTGTCAGTGTGAGACAACACCTTTCTGTTGTTTAAGCTACTCGGTTTGTGGTATTTTATTAAGGCAGTCATAGTAAACTACTACAGCAAAATAGAAAGAGAAAGGGAATTTTCAAGATAGGAAAATCCCTAGGCAGATGAAACGCCTTAATGAGGAAAGGGGTAGAACCCGAACGACCAGCTGTGAGGGCTCTAGTAAGTCTTATCTTAAAAGTTTGAATTTTCAGGCCAGGCGTGGTGGCATATGTCTGTAATCCCAGCACTTTGGGAGGTGGAGGCGAGAGGCTTGCCTGAGTCCATGGGTTTGAGACCAGCCTAGGCAACTTGGCAAGACCATATCTCTACAATAAATAAAAAGAAATTAGCCAGGTGTGGTGGCCTGTGTCTGTAGTTCCAGTTACTTAGAAGGCTGAGGCGAAAAGATCACCTGAGCCCAGCAGGTCGAGGCTGTAGTGGCTGTGAGCAGCGTGCCACTGCACTCCAGCCTGGGTGACAAAGTGAAACTCTGACTCAAAAAAAAAAAAGTTTGAATTTTCCTTCTTCTCAGTATTATCATTTAAAAATATTAAATTACCTCTACACTATTCATTCTCAATTTTCAAATATAACTGACATTTAAATAGTATACACTAATTTTTAATCATATTGCTTCCTGTATCCTTGGATATACTGTACCATATTCCAAAGATTACAAGGAGCCCATAGCTTACTTTATATTAAAAATGAAATTCTCAAACATTGTTGATGGACTCAATGTTATATTTGTCAATCAGAAGCTAGTAAGAAACATGGGTAATTTCACAAATATGAAAAGGCTGCAAAGGTATCTCATACATAGCAATAGTTTGTCTATACCCATTTATCCTGGGGGTTAGGTGCAGTGGGCTTATCAATTGTCTGCCAAGTTTCAAAGGTCACTTACTAGCTACCTAGAAAGTAAGATAAGAAGATACTGGCCTCTACTGTCAATTTCATGTACTTGTGAAAGTAAGTCACAATCCTCTGGAAAAAAAGAAAATTTTGCCACATATGCTTATATTCTTTACTATCAAGGAACAGTAGAAAAAAGTAATTACATTTACCTTCCCCTAATAAAAATAAGATAAAACAGTTGGGGGAGAAGAAAAGATAAAGAGAATGGAAATGACAAGTTTCATATACTGGCACTAGTAACAGTCAAATGAATCTTTTTGTTGACTCAGATCTATTCATGGAAGGAAACACATATTTCAGTTTCCCAAAACACGCTATGAAAACACTATAGGTTAAGAATGAAAAGGAAGCATAAATATTATAAAATAATATCCGTAAAAGATGAAGCCATATAGTTTACCTTAGGTATCATATAATATATGACTATGGGATTATACACATATAACACATTTTAGTAATTATACAGTTATATAAGGTGATTTTTAGGATTTTAATCAAAAACATTTCTTTGGGAAGCTAAGCTGCTAATATCCTACATTTTCCTTCCAAAATTTAAGTTCTGTACCTTCTATCTGTGGCACTTCACCATGAAGCTTGACTTTGCTGGAGAAAGGTGCATTCTGTAGCACTAATGCAAACAGAGATGGAATCATGGACTGCAAGGCAGAAAGATACATGTGGAGCTTGTGTTCATCCAGGCCATGTTCTCCTTCCTGAAACATAAGGAGGTGGAAGCTAATTTTAGTCTTTTGAAGTTACATTACTAATTGGGTTTATGTATGATGTTTTTCCTTTCTGAGGCAAATCAAAGATTTAAGGACATGTATGTTAGACTCAAAACAACACTTAATGGAGACGTCCATGAATCTTTTCTTAATTTCTCCAAGTATGAAAATATAAAGAAGCACTAAAACACTACAGAAGTGATAGATATTTTATACAGAAAACTATAGGGTAAACATCAGTCATTTCCATTGGTAGCAAACAGCTTTTACAGGTTTTCTTTATTTAGAGAGGGTCTTATCTTTTGAAATTTTTAAGTTAGGGTAAGGAAGTTAAAGTGAACCACAGAAGTCATTTATTTTCTTATTTTCAATTGATGCATAATAATCATACATACTTATGAGGTACATGTGATATTTTGATATATGCATACAATGTGCAATGATCAATCAGGTATTGCCTCAAATCACCTCAAACATTTATGATTCTTTGTGTTGGCAACTTTCCAAATCTTCTCTTCAAGCTATTTTTTGAAATATATAATAAATTATCTTTAAATATAATAATCCTACTGCACTATCAAACACTAGAACTTATTCTTTCTATCTAACTGAATTTTTGTATTCAGTAACCAAACTCTCTTCATCTTCCTCCTTTCATTCCCTGCTTCTCAGCCTTTAGTAACTACCATTTTACTCTCTACCCCCTAGAGATCAACTGTTTTTTTTTTTTCATTTTTAAATTTTTTATTTTAAAGATGTGGGTTATAATTCAGGGTTAGGTATACAAATGTTCATTATGCAGGTACCTTGCTGCTGAGGTGTGCTTCCCCTTCCCCAGGCAGATTCCCACTACTGCCAGTTCCGCTTCCCTGCCCCAATCCCGGCAGTTTCCCACTACTGCCAATCCTTTTCTTTCTTTCTTTCTTTTTTTTGAGTTGGAGTCTGGCTCTGTCACCCAGACTGGAGTGCAGTGGCCGCTCCCAGCCCTGGCAGCCTCGACCTGCTGGGCTCTGGCAACCCTTCCATCTCAGCCTTCCGAATAGCTGGAACTACAGGCGCATGTTACCACGCCCGGCTAATTTTTTGATTTATTGTAGAGATGAGGTCTCACCAAGTTGCCCAGGGGAGTCTCGAACCCATGGGCTCAGGCAATCCACTCACCTCAGCCTCCCAAAGTGCGAGATTACAGGCTAAGCCACCGAGCCCAGCTGTCAATCCTTTTCTTATACGATTATGATAATTGTTCAAGGTTCAATTATGAGTGAGAACATGTGATACTCAATTCTTCGTTTCTGTGAAAGATTACTCTTATAGACTCTAAATCCATCCAGGTTGCTGTGAAGTTCATGATTTTGTTCTTCTTTATGGCTGTGTAATATTCCATCATGTATATGTACCACATTTTTTAAATCCAGTCCTCTTTTGATGGGCAGCAGGGTTGGTTCCATGTTCTTGCTACTGTAAACAATGCTGCGATAAACATACAATAACTCAAAAAACAACAGATGCTGGAGAGGATGTGGCAAAAAGGGAACACTTCTACACTGTCAGTAGAAGTACAAACTAGTACAGCCTCTGTGGAAAACAGTGTGGTGATTCCTAAAAGATCTAAAAATTGACCTTCCCTACGACCCTGCAATCCCCCTACTGGGAATTTACCCAGAAGAACTCAAATCACTCTATAAAAGAGATCAACTGTTTTAGTTCCCATGTATCAGTGAGAACATTTGGTATTTGTCTTTCTGTGCATGGTTTAATTCACTTGACACAATGTTCTCCAAACTTATCCATATTGCTGAGTATGGATAACAGGATTTCATTCCTTTTTATGGCTGAGTAGCACTCCAATGTATATATTTACCACATTTTCTTTATCCATTCATCTGATGGACACTTAGATTGTTGACTCCCTATCTTGGTTATCACGAACAGTTCTGCAATACACATAGGAGTGCAGATATCACTTCCCTGTACTAATTTCCTTTCTTTGGAGTATATACCCAGTGGTGGGATTGCTGGATCCCATGATACTTCTATATTTAGCTTTTATGTGAAACCTCCACACTATTTTCCATAATGGCTGCACTAATTTATATTCCCACCAACAGAGTAGGCGGTTTCCCCATTCTCCACATTTTTGCCAGCATCTATTATTTACTTATTTATGTCTTTCTGATAATAGTAATTTTAACTGTGGTAAGATGCTATCTCATTGTTGTGGTTTGCATTTGCGTTTCCCCGATGATTAGTGATGCTAAGCATTTTATTCATTTTTAGTCATTTGTGTGTCTTCTTTTTGAGAAATGTCTATTCAGATCATTTGCTCATTTAAAAATTATTATTTATTTATTTTTGCTGTTGAATCCCTTATATATTCTGGTTATTAATCTCTAGCCGAACAAATACTTTCCAAGTATCTTTCTGCAGATTGTCTCTTCACTCTGTTGATTACTTTGCTGTGTGGAAGCTTTATTAGCTTGATATAATTCCATGTGTCTATTTCTGCTTTTGTTGCCTGTACTTCTGAGATCTTTCCAGAAAAAAATCTTTGCTTAGACCAATGTCCAGAAGCATTTCTCTAATGCTTAGTAGTTTAATAGTTCCAGGTCTTGCATTCAAGTTTTTAATCCATTTTCAATTTATTTTTGTAGAATAAATAGGGATCTAGTTTCATTCTTCTGCATGTAGTAGTTTATTAATGAGACTTTTCTAAATGTATGTTCTTGGTGCCTTTGTTGAAAGTAGTTGGCTGTCAATGCATGGATTTATCTCTGGGTTCTCTACTCTGTTCCACTGGTCTTTTGTGTCAATACCGAGATGTTTTTGGTTACTGTAGGTTTGAAGTATATTTTGAAGTCAGGGAGTGTTCTCTTTCTAAGTAGCTTTGGCTTTGTGTCTCTGGATTGTTTTGGCTATTCAGGATCTTTTTTGTGGGTTTCGATGAATTTTAGGAACTTTTTTCTATTTTTGTGAAGAATATTACTGATATTTTGATAGGAATTGCATTGAATCTATAGATCACTTTGGGTAGTATGAATATTTTAACAATATATATTAGCTCTTCTAATCCATGAACACGGATATCTTTTCATTTTGTTTGTGTTCTTTTCAATTTCTTTCATCAGTGTTTTAAAGTTTTCACTGTAGAGATCTTTCACCTCTTTGGTTAAATGTATTTCTTGGGTTTTTTTTTTTTCTTTTGGTAGTTATTGTAAATGGGATAGCTTTCTTGATTTCTTTTTGGATTGTCCACTGTTGGCAATATAGAAATGCTCAACTGCTAAACCAGCAGCAGCTCTTGCTACTTCCCCTCTCCTACTTCCTATCTCCTTTTAGAGTTGGCATATAATAGGCATTTTAAAAAATGGCTGTTTCTTCCAGTCTCTAAAAAAACTTTTAGTAAAAATTTAGATTAAGAAATGTCTATTGTTTTGTTAGCATATTTCTTCAATTCTTGGGAAGAATGAAAACTTCATTCTAAAAAGTGAAAAAATGAACTATTGGAGTGGAATAAGCACAGTTAAAGCAACTTTGGCAATGTGCAAAGAAGAAAGCTTGAGACACTCATAATTTGGTAGTCTCTGAATTCTAGAAGTGAAGATGATGCTTTATGTAAAATATTTAAGTCCTCAGAAGAGTCAAGGAAGAGCTAGCTTTCTAAATAATGTAGGAGTTCTTTCCATGAAGGTGCTACTTCAGCTAAAATATGTATATCATGCCCTTTCTACTCCTCCAGCTTCAGCAAAGTAAAAGTTCCTCAAATCTCTCTCTTGGTTCCAGTCCAACAGAATCTGTAGCTGGTAATATATTAAAGTGTTCAGCTAAGTGGTATTTTCTGTTCCTGTCCCTAACATTTCTCTAAGATGGCTTAGGACAGACATTTAAGTTTCTATAAACTGTATAAACAAAGGAAGAGCTTACCCTGAGAAGTTTTTCAATTTTGTTCAGTAGTGTAGGTATAAGATGAGACTGCAAATTTCCAAGTTCTGTAGTCCAGGCAGCATAGGCTGGTAAAAACACTTGATGTGTAGCACTAACTACTCGTTCTGAGGGATCACCCAAGGCTGACAGTAACAATTCAAAACCCTGCCAATGGGAAACAGGCAAAAGTAGATTTTTAAAAGAATAAACCTTTAAAACCATAGAATAAAAAGGAATAAATATGCACATCAATACACTTAGAAAATATTTTAAGAAAGACAGAAAGTCACCCATAATCTTACCCTTCCCATTTTCTTTAAAGAAAATGCCATATATCAATAGATGAGCAAACCAAAGAGAAGCGTAAACAAGGAATACTTGATTTCTTGCCACAAAGCTGTGGCAAAGATTGTAAATGAATCGTAGCATTCTTTCTTCTGAGTTGCAAAGCTGAAACCTGGCAGCCATCCTCAATTGACTAAAGTTGACATACCTGCCCATCCTTATTATACATTACATTATAAAGTATTTTAAAAATCAGAGACTTCAACAAATATTACATTATTTAGAATTTTGTAATGGGGTGAAAGGGTTCATTCTGAAAAATATACCTGTTGATATTTGTCTGGATCATCAATGTATCCCATAATGATACCGAGGCTTTTGATCACAGCTTCTCTTACCAAATCTGCTTTATCTTCCATTAACATTTGTTGCAACATTGAAAGAACCAAGGAGCTACGGATTTCTTTCTGAAAATAAACAATTTGTTTTTACTATTTGTTTTCACTTAAGCAAAAAATTATAGAAAATAATAGAAACCAATATGTTCAAACTCCAGATTAAATGGACATTAAAATTATGTTTCGAATTTTTATTTTAAAAACATATGAAATTACAAATATAACCAAAATATCAGTGACCCTCAAATCTCTCCCTCTTTAGAGGTAATAACATCTATGCTGAATTCAGTATTAATAATCTTAGTATGAGTTTATATTTTTACTAAGTATATTAGATAGTTCTTAAATCCTTAGAGTACACACTAGCAGACACTTACAGAAAATCAACAACACATGGACAAAGACTCTTCTATCACTATCTGTTCAACTCAGAGCAGAGTGCTGAATGTTATAACAAAAGGATTGCAAAAATCAGCCTGGCAATTAAAATGCTTGCGTGGGGTATGGTGAGAATATATTATAGACTCAAGGAATTCCTATTTTTTTGAAGTGAGAAAAAAAAAATTCAAACAGGATAAAATATGACAGTGAGATTTAAAAGGACTTTAACAATTCTATTGCTGTTTTATTATGCTAGTATTTAATAAAATGTGCACCTCTGCTGTGCCTTGATTTCACACAGAATTTTTTCCAGTTATAATAAAGAATATTTTAGTTTAACTAATGGCTGAGGTTAGAATAGAGTTATCAATATGCAAATTCATGCCCCTACTATCCTACTTTGTATTATTATTGCAATTTGATCAATTTATAAAATTCTTTAAACCTAAACTTGTTGAGGTTCTTTTTACGTATAATGGTTAGAATAAAATAAAGAGACTATTTTCCTAAATTTACAGTATCATTTGGTATGTGGAGCAAGACTTGATAGACTTTTTTTTTTTGAGTTGGAGTCTCACTCTGTCGCTCAGGCTGGAGTACAGTGGCACGCTTACGGCCACCACAGCCTTGACCTGCAGGGCTCAGGTGATCCTTCTGCCTCAGCTTTCCAAGTAGCTGGAACTACCAGTGTGCACTACCACTCCCGGCTAATTTTTTGATCTACTGTAGAGACAAGGTTTTACCAAGTTGTCCAGGCTGGTCTCAAACCCCAGAGCTCAGGCAATCCCCTCACCTCGGCCTCCTAAAGTGCTGGGATTACAGGCTTGAGCCACTGCGCCCGGCTGATAGACATGTTTTAAAAACAAAAATATACAATTTCAGCAAATTTTGGACACATTTAGGCTGATTATGTATCTTTTGGCACAACTTTTATATTTACCCTTTAGGCCGAAAACTGTCCTAAGATGCCTTAAAGCATATTAAAAGGCTTTCTTAGCTGGTAAGAGTACAAAGCAGTATGACAGAGGTAAATAAGCTTCAGGTAGGCATTTGCTTCACATTGATTCGGGCTGAGGTCAACTGTGACAATTACTTTTAGTATGCCACCAGGACTTCCTCACAGGATAGGGTGGGAGGCATTACTCTATTTAAGCCATGACCACACTGAGGAACTGCAGACATACAGAGACTTTGCTGCTATCAGTGACAGCAGAGGATGTACAAGGCAAGTTCAGATGCACTGGGAAAACATTGTCTATTATTAATACTGCATAGCAGTCTAGGAGTGGAGTAGAACAGCTTACTTATCCTTTGAAAGCAAGTGATGGCCATCTGTCTTGGAACAATAAATAGTAGGATGCTAAAACTCACTCATATTAATCTACCTATATAATTTATCCAATAATAAAATGTATTTTCTTCTATTAGATAGAAAAACATGGCTGGGCTCGGTGGCTCAGCCTGTAATCTCAGCACTGTGGGAGGCCGAGGCAAATGGATTGCCTGAGGCCATGGGTTCAAGGCCAGCCCAGGCAACTAGGCGAGACCTCTGGTCTCTACAATAAATAAAAAAAAATAGCCGGGTGTGGTAGCTCTCCCTTGTAATTCCAGTTACTTGGAAGACTGAGGCGGAAGGATCCCCGGAGCCCAGCAGGTCAACGCTGGGGTGGCTGTGAGTGTGCCATTGCACTCCAGCCTGGGCAGCATAGTGAGACTTCAACTCAAAAAAAAAAAAAGTAAAACATTAAAATAACTTATTCATGCCTCATTCCTGGTGAAGGTATTGAAAAGTAAGAACTCCAATGTTCTGTTAATAGGACATAAATTGGGGCAATTTAACACTTTCAAAAATAAAAAATGCAAATGCTGAAGGCAGCAAGATGCAGAAGTTTTTTTTGGTGTTGTTGTTGTTGTTTCTGAGTTGGAGCCTCAGTCCCTCACCCAGGCTAGAGTGCAGTGGGCACACTCATGGCCATCGCAGCCTCGATCTGCTGGGCTCTGGCGATTCTTCCCCCTGGTCTTCAACCCATGGGCTCAGGCAATCCACTCGCCTGGGCCTCCCTCAGGTGGGATTACAGGCTGAGCCACCAAGCCTGGCCCAGAAATTTTAATAGTATGAGAAATTTAAGAAGCAAACAGATACCCACACAAGAACAGGTCAATAGTGTTTACATTCAGGCATTGCTCATGAGATATAAAACACTGTATAGAGTATGATTAATTTGGGGTAAAATTTTTTTAAAGAATACGAAAACATAAGCTGACACACACACACACATTTTTACTTTCTTAAAGTATGAAGTAAAAACTATTATGAGAAATTACCCTTGGAAACAATAACTGGGAATTATGGAAGGAAGTCTTTGGTTTTCCTTTTATTCTTTTTGTATGTATGAACAGTTATTGTTAAAAAAATTAAATATAATAAATGTATAAAGAGTTATGTTTGCATTATATTATAATTTATAATAAATTTATAAATATAATAAATTAAATGTATGAACATTTATTGTTAACAAAATTAAATATATATATTCTCACTGGGAATGGGATTATACAGAATTTTCTTTATATTTTTCTGAATTAAAAACCCACAGTAAATCTTACTTTTTAAAAAGATAATTGTTTTACTATTGGTTTTTCACTCTTCACTAAAGAATATAAGGTTAACAGTAAATGCAACTAAAAACTTCATGCACTGTTATAAAATTCCATTTTTTGTAGCCTTTTAAAAAAACAATCTTGGCTGGGCTTGGTGGCTCAGCCTGTAATCCCAGCACTTTGGGAGGCCGAGGTGAGTGGATTGCCTGAGCCTGCGGGTTCGAGGCCCGCCCAGGCAACTTGGCGAGACCTCATCTCTACAATAAATAAAAAATTAGCTGGGCACGGTAGCACGCGCCTGTAGTTCCTTCCAGCTACTTGGAAGGCTGAGGCTGGAGGATCGCCTGAGTCCAGCATGACGAGGCTGCGGTGGCCGAGAGTGTGCCAACGCACTCCATTCTGGACGACAGAGTGAGACTCCAACTAAAACAAAAAAACCCCCAAACAAACAAACAAACAAAACCCTACAAAAATGAACTTTCAAACGCAGGTCAGCAAATTTTCAGGCCATAACGGTCTCTGTTGCAACTACTCAACTTTGCTTCAATAGTAGGAAAGCAGCCATGACAATACAAACATAAATAAATGGGTGGTGCTATGTTTCATTAAAACTATATTTACAAAAGCAGGCTGTGAGTTGGATTTAGCATGCAGGCTGTAGTTCATCAAGCTCTGCTTTAAACTAATTGTTTAAATTAAAATACTTGTGACACCACTTTATTATCTCTAACCCTTCTAATCCCTGGACCTATGGAAAGATTCCATTAAGGGCACAATAGTCCAGTGTCATCAATCTTTTTGGTGGCAGGAACACTTTTTAAATGTGAAAATTAATAAGTATCTCAACAACTTTTATTTGAATGGGTAATATCATTGACATTTATCATATTAGAAATTAAAACAAATTTAAAAATATTAATTCATTAAAAATAACAATCAACCCATTAAATGTTAATATAACATTTTTATAAAAATAACTATTTACAAAGCAAAAAAATTAGCAAGAAGAATGGGGTTGATTCATATTTTGCTCCAAATCTCTTTAGTGTCTGACTTAAAAGACAGGTTCTTTTATCTGCTCTGCATTCACTTTGTTGTGATATGTTGTTTTGGCTGAAATATTTAAAGAAAATTTGGCCTCACAGATGACATGCAATTGGAAAAGAATATTTTAATAGCCTTTTCAGATTTAAAAAAAAAATCCCTTTATGTTGATTTTACACCCTAACTGGGCAAGTAGTAATTTTTCTTATCTATCTATCTATTTATTTATTTATTTAGAGTTGGAGTCTCGTTCCGTCACCCAGGCAAGTAGTAATTTTTCTTATCTATCTATCTATCTAACTATCTATCTATCTATCTATTTATTTATTTAGAGTTGGAGTCTCAAACCCATCTATTTATTTATTTATTTATTTATTTAGAGTTGGAGTCTCATTCCGTCACCCAGGCAAGTAGTAATTTTTCTTATCTATCTATCTATCTATTTATTTATTTATTTAGAGTTGGAGTCTCATTCCGTCACCCAGGCGCTACCACACCCAACTAATTTTTGATTTATTGTAGAGATGAGGTCTCACCAAGTTGTCCAGGCTGGTCTCAAACCCATGGGCTCTGGCAATCCTTTCACCTCGGCCTCCCAAAGTGCTGGGATTACAGGTTTGAGCCACCGCGCCTGGCCTACAAGTAGTAATTTCTTAAAGGTTAGTTGCAACGTGAAATCTGAAGGCATGACAGTGCTACACTGATAATAAACTTCTAAAATTCTGTTACATTAAATTCCATTGGTTTATCTTGGACTTCGAATGCTTCTATTTTAACCCATGCATTGGTTGTTTGGGAAAAACTAAACCACAGAGTCATGCAGATCTTCTTTGATTTCATTACATCATAAAAAAAAAAATCCACTGATCTCATCATTTCTTTCCATACTTAGAAGCTGTCAAACTCACACTGGTGGCTATAAGTTTCTCAAAATTCTAGCTCTCACTTATATGCTCCACTTTTATCGCCGGCAACAATGCCATCTACTTGTTTTCCTTCAAGTGATGGGCTCACTTCACCCAATTTCATAAAAGTGTCTACCACATACTGAAGTCTGAGTAACCATAGTTTGCCAGTGGTTCTGTGAAGTAAAATCAGTGCTCCATGAAAAAAAGCAGCTAGATCAGCTTCCAACTCAAGCAATTACTGAAGTGCTTTTCTTGCAAACAACTATCATACTTTAGTATGCAGCAAAAGGGTTTTAAATGGGTAATTTCTAATTTGTCTCACAGAATATTCATAAGATATATGAACAAGGGTAAAAATTAATAATTTTATGAGTTCAGCAAGCTCCTTTTTAAGTGAAATTGGCTTTTTCAGCAAATGTATTACAGTGAAGAATACAATCATTATTAGTTTTTGGGTGCCCCTGCCCTGATTAATGCTAATGCACCAGCACTGCTGCCCATCACTGCTTTTGCACTAACAGTACAAATGTCAACATAGTGAAAAGACAAAAAATGTCTTATTATTTTAAAAATAGTTTTCACCGTGTGGACTTCTTTGAAAAGATTTCAAGAAACTCTCTAGGGTCCTCAGGCCACACTCTGAGAACTGCTGATAAAGTTTAATATAGTTATACTCATGGAAAAGCGGTGATAACCTATTTATCTGCAATACCATAGGTAATAATGTGAGCCTTTTCTTTTTTGACTCATCTCTTTCCTTTATTAAGACAGCATGCCTAAGAGAAATCTGTATTAGAATGTATAAGACACTTGAAAAAAGGATTTTTTATTATTAAAAAAGAGAAAAGGTTTTAAGAAGAATAATTGATAGTTCTTACAGGAAGGTAAGGTGCCAATGCTCCACAGGATTCTGCCACAAGTAGTCGTCTTTCTGGGTATTTGTGATTAATCTAGAGTAAAAAAATAAATAAATAAAGCATAAACAACATACCCTCCCTTCTTCCAACAGAGAAAGACTTTTCACCACAAATCCTGTTAAGAATGCAATAAAGCTTCCTTCTTTTCCACTTCTGGGAATCCCTGTATGACTACACCTGGATGAGGAATAAGGGAATCAGGGAGAGTCTAAACATGAGGTCACAGGGGTCATCTGTTAAAGAAAAAAGGGAAAACCAAAGATGAAAATCTGGCAATGTATCTAGAGATCATGGGCTTGCCCAATACTAGGCTTTCCTTAGCACATCAGGAGAGATCAGGACCCTTCCCTGGCAATATTAGTAAATTTTAAAATTTGGAAAACCCAGATTCTGTATCTTATAGATATGGTCTATAATATGTGCCAGTCTTCTTTACCTAAGATATTAGGAAGTTACATAATGATTTAAAGAGTCCTCATTAGACATATGGTTTTATTTTTAAAGTAAGCAGACTTCAATCTATTCCTCTGTTTGTATATGCAAAATGATGGTGTTTTGTTATTGTGGTGACTACACTGAACCATAACAAAAAATAACAAAAAAAATGACACATACTGGGTTTTGTTCCCATATGTCTTCTTCACAGAATATAAATCTTTCTTTGACTGGAAAAGAAGTATATCTGTTCTCATATTCCCATATGAAAAGGTGACATTAATTCATTAATGTTTTGGATGCCTAAAATTAAGAAAAAAAATTATATAGTAATCTACTGGGCAACAAACTGGAGGTAGGTGGCTAGATAGATCCCCTATATTCATGTTTATTCAGGTTATAGAAGAGGTGGTGGTAGAGATATTTATAACTAACATCTCTGAATTAAATTTAATCCAGACATAGTTATCTCAAAAGCAAAATGGTTTGAATGTCAAAGTATGCTGTACATAAACTTTCACTTGCTTTTCTTTAGTTTAGCTCAATTAAGTCTCAAAAATAAAATGTACATATGAAAACCAACTGTATTTCTATGTTAGCAATGAGCAAACCAAAAATAAAATTAAGAAAATAATTCTATTTACGATAGCATCAAAAAGAACCCTTAGGAGTAGATAAACAAAAGAGGTAAAACTTAAACTACTATAGTATACAAAATTACCATTGAAAGAAATTGCAAAACACCTAAATTAAGCCTTCATAGATTGGAAAGTCTAATATAATTAAGATGGCAATATTCTCCAGATTAATCTATAGACTCAATGCATTATTCATGAAAATCCTAGCTAGCTTCTTTCCAGAAATTGACAAACTGGTTCTAAAATTCATAAGAAAACCCAAGGGAACCAGAATAGCCAAAATAATCTTGAAAGAGAAGAACCAAATTCTAGCCATTAGGGTTTCTTTTTTGGGGGGGTGATAAAAACATTTTAAAATTCATTGTGATGATGGCTGCACAACTCTGTGAGTATAATGAAACCATTAAACTGTACACATTAAACAGGTAAACTATAGTATATGAATTATATCTTAATAAAATGTAAAAAAACTATAAAAAATTAAATGTGTACATGAATAATCATGTAGAATTGTAAATTCAAGTTGCATGGATTATATCCAAATTAATTTTGACTTCAAGCAATTAGAACCTCAACCTAAATTAGTATACACTGTGATTTATAGATGATGTAAGGAATTGTCAGAGGTAATTATTACTATACATAATGTTCACTTTACATATTGAATCTAGTGACTCCACTAGATCTTAGTGAAAAAATAAATGCCCAAAGAATTTGGAGACAGAACTCTAAATAACTACACACTTAGTGTTATTCCAGAGACCAATATTTTTCTTAAGAATAAGTGACTGTGTATATAAAGCCATGTAATTTGCTTCCATAAGTAGGTAACTCACCTTCTTAAGGTGGAAAATAGGTACTTAATTACCTAAACATCAAGTCTAGAAAGTCAATGATTCTGAGTTCTACAGAGGACTGAAATATTAAAATTCAATATAAACCAAAAGTATTTTTTGTAAAATACAGTTCAATTATAAATATAAAAACTTCCCACATCAAAGGTTCATATTTTATATACTGCATGTATTTGTAATATATACAAGCATAACCTAGACACATGATATATTTCCACGTATGCACACATCTTGCTCTCCTTGAACGCATCTGCTCTCACCTTAAGGCTTTTGTACCTGGTGCATTTTACTTGCCTAGACATCACTGCCTCAGGATTCCTTCTCTGACCACCCTTTCCAGGAGAACATTCCCTAGCAACCAGTACTACAAAACAGTATGTCATTTCTTTATTCACTTGTATATTTCTTTTTTTTTTTGAGTTGGAGTCTCACTCTGTCACCCAGACTGGAGTGCAGTGGCCGCTCCTGGCCACCGCAGCCTCGACCCGCTGGGCTCCAGCGATCCTTCCGCCTCAGCCTTCTGAGTAGGCAGAATTACAGGCATGCGCTACCACGCCCGGCTGATTTTTTGATTTATTGTAGAGATGAGGTCTCACTGCCCAGGCGGGTCTCGAACTCGCAGGCTCAGGCAATCCACTCACCTCAGCCTCCCAAAAACGCGGGATTACAGGCTGAGCCACCAAGCCCGGCTCACTTGCATATTTCTACTTGGGATGTCTTCATCTTTTGTTTTCTACTGTATCCCTAGTGACTACACCAGTACTCAGAACTAGAATTAGCGTTTCATAAGTTTTTGCTGAATGAATGAATAAAGCAAAGGAACCAGAGAATTCTTAAGCTCTATTAAATCCCTGTGCTGAGATACAGAAACAGCAGTGTAATTTACATCCTATGTATTTCTTAATAGCATTTTAAAAAGAAAATTTGAACCCTAATAAGAAATTAGAATAGCTAGGTGGAAACCCAATGCAAATATTTACCTGTTCCCAACACTGTGGTAAAAGTTCAGCTTCTACACGTGTTGGTCCGACATGACGTGCAAATGCCACACAACCAGTCAGTATCATTTGCCTGGAAAATAGTACAAAAATAAAAGCTTGTGATTGCATTAGAAAGCGCAACTAGGATTAAGGGTTAAAAAGATTCATCTCTGTAAATTCACAAAAAGTACAATAGTTATACATAATCAAATTAGACTTTTCTAACAATGGACTAGGATGCCACTAAGAAACGAGCCACTCAAACAATGGCAACACCATTTATGACAGACATTGTGAAGGGATTTCTGTAGAGGTAAGAAGCTGAATCTCATAACCTTCTAAGTTAACTTCCCACTCATGCATTCTGATACTATAATATGCCAAACACTTCAGTTTCTACCCATTGGAACAATCAGTGATTGTTTCCTCAATATTTCTATAGTTAAAAGCTATGGTACCATATTAGTAAAATTGTTTTTAAAAGCAGTTTTTGGTATTATATCCAAGATAAGTGTGGTAGGTAGTTTCTGACATTGCTTCCAAATGATCCCATTTCCTTGAGTGTAGAATAGATTTAATAAATTGCTTCTAATAGATAGACTATGAACAAAGTGATAGGATGTCACTTTTGAGATTAGGTTACAAAGTCTGTGACGTCCATCATGCAGTGATTGCCTTCTCAGGGGGCATGCTTTGATATAGCAAGCTGCAATGATGGAGAGACCTATGTGGCCAGGAATTAAAGTCAGTGAGTAGCTGAGGCTCTCAGTCTAGAAATATTTGAGGAATTTAATCCTGCCAATGACATGATTGCATTTAAAAGCAAATTCTTCACTAGTTGAGCCCTAAAATGACTACAGCCCCAGCTAATCCCTTGACTACAACCTTGTAAGAGTTTGAAGCATAAGACCCAGATTCTTGACCCACAGAAACTGTAAGATAAAAGACAGTTTAAACCACTTTATTTTGGGGTACATTGTTATAGAACAGCAGTTAAGAATTGACTAATATCTTCATTTGAGTTGATAAATTTGTAACTTAAAAAAATATAAAATTTTAAATAAAATATTTTACTCCTCAGAATGAAGTTCCATTTACAATGACTTTAAAATTCAGAATTTTAGGTTCTTCCACTTTTGATTGTCTAACACTTTAAAGTATGCTTTTAATAGATGTTTTAAAGTAGCCAAAATCAAAGAAAACCAAACCAGAATGCTTAATTTGAATTAGGTATAAAAATCAGAGTTTTAAGCCTAGACATTAATCATTGCTATTTGTCAATATATCCAAATTTAAATGAACTGCAAAATGACATTAAATTTCTATTTGCTTTAGTCAGATTAGTTACTAATGTTCTCATGTTATTTGAGGAGAACAATGACAAATATCTTTTGGACAAGGCTGGAGAAAACAGTGAACTGACGTGTCTTCATTGTATACTGCAGTAGCTTCTAATTTACCACAATCTTTGTAATTTTTATGTACCTGATTTCCCTTAATATTTATAATCTCATTTTCTGCTTCTATTTCTCAACTTTTGTTTCTTTCCTACCTCCTGTTTTCTACTTGCTACTACTTTAGGAAGGCAAATTAAAGTGAACAAAAGAAAAATGAAAAAATAATTTAGCAACCCTTACATATAGGGTTATATGTTATTATAGCTGCCTGCTCCCTAATGAAAATTTCCTAATATATGATAGTTGTTTGGCCCTCACTAGGGTATTAAAATGAGAAGGCAGCCAGGCTTGGTGGCTCAGCCCGTAATCCCGTGCTTTGGGAGGCTGAGGTGAGTGGATTGCCTGAGTCTGTGGGTTCAAGACCCGCCTGG